GGAAAGAGTTCAATATAGTGTATTGTGCAATTAATGAATGAAAAACAACAACACTGCGCAAAGGCAACAAGAGCAACATATGTGGGGAAGTTGTGAGTCAATGTGCAAGCCGCACGTGTTCATGTATCATTGCATGTACTGGCATTAAACTCTGTGACCTCTAGAATTGTTTAACATTAATACCTTTTCTGTTTTTGACTGACATATATGTTGCAGTTTTAATGAAATATCATGAGTTTTCAAGTAATATTTCAACCTTAGGAGGCTCTAGTCCAACTTGAGACCAAACACTGGACATTCCTAGTTGGTGTTAGGTTGAAATATGTCCAGTTTCCCAAAAATATTTCACCTCATATTAAAAAAAAAACCTTATTAACTGTTTCAACAATAATGTATATGTACTGTTGAAACAAAAATAACATTTGCACAACTTTATAACTACATGGTTTTCTGCTGTTGGATTGCATGTAGGTGTGAGGTGTCCATGTGGGACTCAGATGAACCTGTGCCCAGAGCGGAGCTGCTCAAAGGTGTGCAGAAGGCTAACGGTCTTCTGTGTCTGCTGTCGGACAAGATTGATGCCGAGGTCCTGGACGCTGCAGGCACGTTTGACCAGATAGTTCTGTAAAAAGTGTACATGTGGCTAGGCCATAAAAATTGGAAATAAAGCAGGTTGTTGTTGTGTAGTACAAACATTACAAATGTTGATAACAATCACCTCTAATAGATTTTAGAGATGTAACTTCATTAAGGGAACATTAATTATTTTGAATTTATTTCTATTATGTGTGAATAAATCAGGAAAAGAAAAATGCAGCTAACTTTCTTAAATGTGTTGTGGAAATCTAAAACTATTTAGAAACTGTATTGATCTTTTACAGTTTATAATAACTTTGTTTTCTGAAACAGAAAGAGTTAATGAGTAATCATTGCTGGTTTATATCCTGGTTAGCAAAAAGGAATTTCTTTTGTTTCAGTTTTTCACCTGTTCTGTTTTTAATTTTAGGTCCCAACCTGAAGATCATCAGCACCATGTCGGTGGGATTTGACCACTTGGCTCTGCAGGAAATTAAAAAACGGTAGTTAATAGTTGAATAGATAATCACATGACTAAATGATTAGACAGATGTATGTCATTTTAATGTCTGCCTTCACCAGTGGCATACGAGTTGGATACACTCCCGATGTGCTTACTGATGCCACAGCTGAACTGACCGTCGCCCTGCTCCTGGCCACTGCTCGCAGATTACCAGAGGGAGTGGAGGAGGTCAAAAAGTCAGTTGAACAGTTACACATTTAAGTAGTGTTTGTTCTAAATGTGTTAGCTCTTACTGTAACTTTTTACCTCAGAGTAAATATAATTGTCCTAATTGAGTTAAACAATAGTCAAACTCTCTCTGCTTCTTTGTTAGTGGTGGCTGGAGCTCATGGAAGCCTCTCTGGCTCTGTGGCTATGGTCTATCTGGCAGCACGGTCGGAGTCATCGGACTCGGACGCATTGGTAAGACTCTTCTCTTTTGCTTTTGACAACAAACTGCCTACCTTTCAGTATTTTCATTTCTGCAACCTGTTGTGTTTCCTCACAGGTTTAGCTATTGCTAAGAGACTCATGCCGTTTGGAGTTCAGAGGCTGCTGTACTCTGGGAGATCAGCGAAGTCTGAAGCTGCAGAGGTTAATGGAGAGTACGGTAAGAAAAATGGAGGTGTGATCACAGTTGCCTGACAAAAAGGGTGGTTTGTTTAAATCCTAAAAAAAAGTCCAAATGACAGTGTGACAAGATAACATTATTTCTTCATTCTTTTTAAAACAGTTCCTGTGGACACCCTTCTGTCTGAGAGTGACTTCATTGTAGTTTCCTGCTCCCTGACTCCAGAAACCCAGGGCCTGTGTAACAAGGCCTTCTTCAGCAAGATGAAGAATACGGCAGTCTTCATCAACACTAGCAGGTGGAGTCAACTTTGAAATGCTTTTTTGGCAGTCTTCTTATTTTATACTTATAAGTATGGATAATTGTGTGTTGTCAGGGGGGCTGTGGTCAACCAGGAAGACCTGTATGACGCCTTAAGTACTGGACAGATAGCGGCAGCTGGGCTGGACGTCACGACACCTGAGCCTCTCCCAACAGACCATCCGCTCTTAACACTGAAAAACTGTGGTTAGTAGAAAAACCAGCACCTATTTGTACAAACACAAAAAGAAAATGTCTCTTGAAACTGTGTTTTCTTTCCTTTTTTTCTTATTGAATCCAGTTGTGTTGCCACACATTGGCAGCGCCACCTACTCCACAAGAAGCGTCATGTCAGCCTTGTCAGTGCGCAACCTGCTCTGTGGCCTGCAGGGCACAGAAATGCCAAATGAACTCACTTTGTAGAAGAACCTGCTGCTGTGTAGAGAACGGTGAGGCTGTGATGTGACAGCAGTCTGTGATGTGAGATCACAGCAGCAGAGAAGAGGGAGAATACTAATGTAGTTCAGTGAACACATGACGTCAGTGTCAACTGGATCCTTTAGTGAGTCTGAAGTTCACTTTGATTATAAACTATGAATTAATGAGAAGAGAAGGAAGCTGGAAATCAGCTCCACAGGAGGAGCACTTGTCACATGTCCTTAACTTTTGTTCTTGTCTTGTGTGTAACAGCACCCCATTGTTTCCATTTCACATGTTATGTGGTCCCTGGTCTGTTTTTTATTTTTATTTTGAACGAACGTTTGGCTGTGAAGGTTTATCAGATGCTCCACTTGTGGCCTGCATTTATGAATGTGCTCCGTGTTTACTGTTGGTCCAAGGTTTAACACTCCAGTTCTGTTACAAATGAGATCGATCTCTATAGTACAAAGCCTACCATTTAGTAAACATAGCAATGTCTGTGTTAATGGAAAAAAAAACAGGAACAGATAAAGGTCAATAAAAATGATTTATTTATTTCTCAGTTTGTTTACTTTTTTAAATTATTATTTTCAGAAGTTGTTTACTTGAAATTATTATTTTCAGAAAGTTTTTGTCGATTTGGCAACATTTTATTGGTTTATGAAAACAATACAAAAAATAATACAGGATTTGTTTTGCATGTAATAGAATAAAGTGTAATGAAAGTCCAAAAGACTTATGATTTATTGAAACCTAAAAACAAAACAAGCAATTGTTAAGTTAATTCAGTGCAGAGTTTCCAGTTAATTCATTATTTTTGTGCTTTAAAAATACAAGGTAAATAGAAAAGTAATAATAAATAACCACAATGACAGTAGTGATGTTGATTATCTTAGACATAAATAAAAAATGTTTAAAAATGTTTGCCTCAGAGCAGAGGCTCAGGTAATGACTGGTCATCCTTCCAGTTGAGACAGCTATTCTTGGAGTGCTTGTAAAGATGGGAGGACTGGCTGAAGCGTTTTCCACACTTTGGACAGGGATAGGGTTTTTCTCCTGTGTGCACTCTGATATGCTTCTTACAGTCGGTCAGGTTCATAAATGTCTTACAGCAGATATTGCAGGCATATTTCTTCTCCCCTTCCACCAACAACACGTGGTCCTCAGCAGCTGCTTTCTTACACTTGGACAGGACGTCCTCTGAGGCTCTGGAGGCTCTGGTTAGAGACGGTCGACCTGCAGCGTCGCCGGCTGAAGCAGAGGAAGGATCGGTACCAGGTGCCACTTTGGGGGCAATGCGACGAAACGTTGTTGCCCCAGAACTTTTCCCAGCTTTAGCAGATGGGATGAGCGATGCCTCCAGACTGAGGCCTGAACTGATGTTGCTTAGAAACCCTGCTAATGAGTTCTGAGTGGGCTGTAGGATGAGCGTGTCACTAAAACTGGGATTCTGTGGAGGGAGAAACTGCTGCAGTGGGACAGAAGACACCGGGAAAATCAGGGAGGAGGAAGAGGAATCAGAAGTCTGAGCTGGAGAGTTGTTGAGAGTGTGGTCTGAGTTTTGACATTGATCCATGTCATTTTCAGCTGTAGCTGCATCACTGGTGTCGGTGGTAGCAGTAGCTGTGAGACTTATGAGGCTTTCTTCTTCCTCCAGAGCTCCCATTACACTGTCAGTATTGGGATTGAGGAAGCATGAGAAGGTTAGCTCTGACAGGCTGTCCAGACCTTCACTGTCACCAACTAAATCTCCCGCCTCTCTTTGTGCACTACTCTGGAGATCTGAACACAGTGGAGTTTGTAAAGAGCTGACGCCAGCCTCTGTCGCCTGGGCCACAACGGCCATTTTCTCATCATTCACGTGTGCGTTTAAATTATCTGTGTAGACTTGTAATGGAGACGGAAAAGACTCTAGATCAGGGGAATATGAGCACAGGTTTTCTTTTTTAATCTCAATCACTGCCATCTTTGTCTCATCTTCCTCCTCTTTTTCTCCTATATTTATTTTTATCACCGCATCTCCTTCAGTTTCTCCATGCTTCTTCCACACGTCCGCACCTCCTGCGCCACTGTCTGACTGACTTGGAAGCTGAATCTCCTCCGACTCTCCCTTGAATGCTCTGTATTTCTCCTCACCTGTGTCACTTTGATTCTCTGAAGGTTGATCCGTCATCTTAAGGCAGTCTGGAGACAGTAGATCTTCTCCGTCCTCTGTGTTGATGATGCTTCTGCTGGACACAGTAGGTGAACACTCCTTGTAGTTCTCCTCAGGTAACGTGCAGCTTCTCTTCCAGCACCCAGGCCTGTCATCATTGGACTTTCTTTTATACCTCGAGGATGATGCTGATCTTCCAGACTGGCTCACCTCCACCACCACCACCACAGGATCCTCGTCTACATCCTCTGCATCATCTGACGCGGACGACACCTGTTGAAGTGGGGGACACTTCTGCTGTTGCACTGACCTCCACCCCTTAGGTGGTGAGGAAGGGAAGTTTTTCCTGGACAAATGGAGTTTGCATGTCTTCACCACGGTGTTCAAATGCAAGTGCGATGCTGCCAGTAACACATCCATCACATTGGAGGACCCCAGTGAGAGAGTGGATGTGTAGATCATGTCCAGGAGGGTGGAGAAAGCCTCTGGGGTCACCACCTCTGCGTCTAGTTCCACCACATTGGAGTTGCCACCCTCATTTCTCTCGGCTCTCACTCCTCCAACCTCATCTGAGCTGTCAGTGGAGCAGAGCAGGGCCCTGAAGTGAGAGCTACATGCTGCCAGGATGGAGCGGTGAGCCTGGAAGCTCTGACCTCCAACCACAACCACACAATCACAGAGTTGAGCATGGAGACGCTGGTGGTTCAGCTGTTTAAAAATGTGCTGAAAGTGGTCAGGGAAGTCCATGATGATCTGGGGTCATTTAATCCTGGAGTCTTCACTGGTGTTGTTTCTGCAATGCATGAAAACAAGAAACACAAATATTAAAATATTATAAAACAATTACCTAAAACACACCAGACAGTCTGCAGCCTACCTCTGCTGTGATCTTTGTCTTCATCATTGGAGAAGATCCGGAGTATGGGCGGGCCGAGTCCAACAATGACAGCGGCAGATGCGACTCAGACGCGGGCTTTGTCTCCACAAATAGCTCGCTGCCTTTATGTCACGTATGCGGCTCAAAATGAGAAACCGAAATTTATTTTCCCACTTTTCCCATTAAAAAGGACCACAAGGCTGTCGCAAGACCGATGCTACGTTTAGCTTTTTTTTGTCGGCAGCGCCTACACTCCGAGTAATAATAATCCTTACACGGAAGCAGCACCCCCAAGTGGTAATAATTGAAAAGTGCAACTCCGCTGAACTTGAATTCACAGTGTTTTTCTAGTTGCCAAGAGCAGTTGTTATAAAATAGATTAGTTTAATTTGATAAAAGTACATATAAATTATCACTTTGTTAGACTTAAATATGTAGACTGCGCTGTCAACAAATGTACATCGTGTAGTCAAACGCTGCCATTACTGAATGAAAGAAAAGTAAAACCTGCAGGGTTACTTATATGTAACCCCTGTTAAGGGTTAAGGTGAAAAGTTATTTCTGAATCCATCTAGATGGCCAATATCAATGTCATTAAAAATGTGACCCTTCTTCATTTTAAGCAAATATGAATTAAACTACAATGAATTGGTTCTGTAATTTAATCTAATGGCAGTTTAACATAGTAGGTCATGTGAGCTTCTGGCAGGGAGTTTTGTTTTCAAAAGCATCTTTAAAATTTGCCACTGACTTTGCTAATGCGAAATTGTGCTAATATTAAATGATTATGATTTATTTGGGGACTCTTCAGACAACAGCAATGAATTGAACTGATTTGAAAAAGACCTTTCACATTTGAAAGAATTACAGTAAAATGCCAACTCCGGGTATGTTTTTATTGCATTATACAACAATCCTGCACGTTTTCAGGCTCAGCGCGAGACAATGTTCATAATTTAGTAACAAAAAAAACAACAACAACATAACAGAATAGAGGCAGACTAGTGTTGACAGCAAGGAATGACACATGGGGTATGAATATGTTTCTCTTCGGCAATGGGCAGGTACTGGCTGATGTCATCTTCAGTGGCCCAATCTGTCTGCTCGTAATGATGGTCTGCATTCATCTCTGATGTGGTCATCGCTCATTAAATGGAGGACAGAGTAAAAACCCACTGCTTCACTCATATGCTGTCCAGCTTCTTTAACACATATGGAGCTGCAAATAGAAAACACAGCATTATAAAACCCATTATATAGAACATTATATGGATATGTTGTTTCAAAATGTGTGTGAATATAAGGATTGCATCAAATATCACGCATTTACAACAATTTCCTACAATATTTTTTTACTGCTATCTATCAATAACCAAAAATACAACATTGTTTTATTATTATGATCATTATTATCTGTAAGAGACAGATATATACAGTATATATATATATATATATATATATTAGCCTTTGACTAATTAAAAAAAACAACCCATGTTATTCGTTCTGCAGTAGATTAGCATATTGGTCTTTTAAGCACAGAAGTGTCACGGCGGAACAAATGTTTCGGGTATTTTTCAGTCAATGAATCTGGCCCCAGTGACCAAAAACACGATTTCGGTTATTAACCATAAATGTCAAAGTCAACAGTCGATACTTACTGGCTCTGAGAAGGGCGACGTAAATAAGAAAGTTTCTCAAAGATGAGATTACGTCTTGGCGCATTTTCTTCTTCAGCTCCTCTGGATCCATTTTAGGTCCAAGTCCTTCTAGTTTAAACATATTTACTAACGTGTAAGTGAGTTCTCCACTTAAAATTCTCTTCGGTGTTAAGGAACAGCTATGGTTTCCACAGCATGGATGAAACGATCGAGGACGGAAGTACAACATCGAAAACGGAAGTTAGGTTGAGCGACGGCGAGCCATAAAGGACAAAACGCTAAACGCGCAAAAGGCAAATAAATATTGGGGCAGCAATACAGCGATGGGTAAGTTGCAAGTACACACGTATGAAGTCAAATAAACGAGTCAATTTCGATGCGAAATCAGCCAAACGTCCAGGATTAAATATGGTAGGGGAAGTCCATGCGATATTCGACATCTGATTCACATCAAGACACAAATGCTCAAATTAACACGATTAATTTATTGTCGCAATGATGCAGCGGCCCGTGTCAATAAACATTAATTAAGACGTGCTAAGACCTGCTGTCATGTCAGACATGTGGAATGATGTTTCACTGGGAGAATAGTAAAGTCCAAACAACCGACTGCAACTTGTGCAACACGAGTTTGTTAAGGGTGGAGGTAGGAATAGAATATAATAGAATTGAATAGAAAGCCTCTATTGTCATTATACAAGGTACAACGAGATTTTAAAACATTTGAGTCGGAGCTGTTTCTATACTACTCGCACATTTTGTAGTTTATTTAAAGTTTAATAAGATGACACATTTAACATACTGTGTTGCAGTAATGGAGGGTTAAATTATACGTTTTATTGTCATTGGGGCTTTGTTGTGGGTGAGATAAAATTATATACTAGAATTATAATTCCTTTTTATTGTTGTGAAAACATTTGCCCAGTGGTATTACCCAAATTTGTAAACTGTTCTGAGTTTGTCTTTTTTAAAATTAAAAATTGATGAAGGTGTGCGAGTTTAAAGCTAAATAAAACAGCAGCAGTTTTTTTCCTTTGCTTTAGTGGACCAAATTAGTGTTTATTTGCTGAATTAAACAAAGTGCATTTATTGTTGTAGATAATAAATGGCGAGTTGTATACTTTTAATACTAACCCAATTTTTAGTTATGCTTTTTAAGTTATAAGTTATACGTTATAAAGGGTAATATCTCCTTTTGTTCTTATTTTTCTTCTTCTTATTTCTTATTATTATTATGATCACAGTCGTTTGACCTTGTGCTGGAGGTTCATCGGGACAGACAGCAGAGGAGGGAGGGGTAGGTTCTGGTTATTTCTGAGCTAAGGGCCGAGGATTAGGCAGAGAACAGTCCCAACACGATGACAGCATCCAGCATATATGTCACCCCCAACCATCCACACACACACAGACAGACAGACACACACACACACACACACACACCCCGCACACACACATACCACATCACTACCACTACTACCATCCGGTCCGGAAGGAGGACGTCGCACAGATTTTAGGGAATCAAACGCCTCATCCTCCGGATTAGACGTATTTTTTGGTGGAAGGAGGAGGAGGGCAGGATTTTTTCGATTCTATCCCTGTCCTCCTGTCTCCGTCTCCTCCTCAAACCACGAGGTGAGTGTTCTCGATATGTCCCGGTGTTATTGTGTGATGACGAAGGCTGTGGACCGAGCCACCTTGCATCCTTTCGCCTCCAGATTATTAGTAAATAAATAACTGAAACGCACGGGGATTAACACATCGCCAGCGGGCGACAACACCCGTGCGTCCCATTCAAGGAGGCGATGGATGAAGGAGAGATTTAAATCCGATTATGATTATTACGGAAGCAACAAAAGACTGACCCTTTTCCCCTCTTTGTTTAGCCTCCCGGATTGACACACATGGCTGTGGCTACTGATCAAACTTGGTGTCGGATCAGTTTAAATGGAAATATTGATCGTTTTAAATGCATCTGCAAAGGCGTTTATGGACGATTGACGCCACCCGTGTGTGTTTAGTTACATCTTGAATTCAGGTTATTTTGGTAACAGCCTATTTGGTCATGTATATTTCCATAAAACGGCATTTGGTTGGACATTAAGTACACCCTTAGACCATAACACTATATAGCACAGACAGCTGCTTGTGTTTTGCATGATTTTGGGTGTAGTAAATGTAGTGTTGTGCACCGTCCGTTCACACATGTTATGCAGCGCTAGTGAACACCCATACTGCTGTATGTGCAGGGGAAGCACACTATCACTAGCTTAACATCGAACAGGCTAAATCCAGGCAGATCAGGGGAAAACCATGTAGTAATCAGTCCGGTAAAACATGCACAGCAGCACATTATGAATGGGCGTAGGCAGTCTGAGACTATGGGAGTGTCATCTCTCTTTTCCTCCTCCTCCTCCACCTCCTTTTTCTTTCCTTGTATCATTTGAACCATCAGCATCCTCTTCCTCGAGCTCCTCCGTGCCGTGCCAGGCATGACAAGCACAACACAAGTAGACCGGAACAATCCGTTTTGCTGTTCTGGGCGGTCATTTAATGCATGACATGATTTAATATAATAATTCATAGTGGTTTCCTCTCACCCTGCAACATCTAATGGCATTTCTCTAAAAGCATCATCTGCTGCTAGTTGTTCACAGGTGAATGCACTCATATGTGTAAAACAGAATGGATTCTAATGAATGAAAGGATGTCAGATTTTGTTGTGAAATGCAGTCTACAAGAAGCAGCCAGAGTCTGTAGATGCTGTGAGCAGTTTGCAGTGCCAGTGCTGCAGGCACTGTGCTATGACTCAGGGATGTGTGCTACAACATGTGATGGCAGTTGGTGCTCTGAGGTCATGCTGCCAGAGGAGACCAGAACTCGCACATCAGGAAAGACTTGATGCCTGGCTGCATTGGCCTGGATCTGTGCTACTGAACGCTCCGCCGTCCCAATTATTGTGCCCACTCAGCCGCCCCCCTTTCTTCTTCTATGGTCTTTACAGCATCATGTCTCCGGGGGCAGAGTGTACGTAATGCTGGGCTGGTGTTTACTTCTCTGTTCCAATGCCTTCACATAACAATCATTACATCAGTCAATTGTTGAACCTGTTCAATAGTTTGATTAATGTTGTTGCACTTGGGAGCTGCTGTCTAATCAATGTTGTTCTTTCTTACATGCAAAGGTAAGGGTCTAGTGCAGAGGTGTCAAACTCATTTCCACGGGGGGCCCACATCAGCGTTACAGTTCCCCTTGAAGGGCTGGTTGTAAATGGAAGACTATATAGATGTAACTAATGTATTATTACATGTTTCTGCAATTGATTATTATTTATTCAAATAACAAATATTGTACATTTCTCTGTGTAATATAAAAATATTTATCAAGTTAAAAACTCAGCAGCATGGACTTTATGTAAGGCATTTAAACATTTTTTAAGCTCCCGCGGGCCACACGATGTAACTTGGTGGACTGCATTTGGACCATGGGCCTTGAGTTTGACACATGGTTTAGTGTATTATTATGCAGTGAATTATTGGATATTGTTGAGTATAACAATCGATTGGTTCACAGCTTTGTTGTTGGATGTTGCTTGTCTTAGATCATCGGAGCAAAAGGAGGGGTATGACCTAATTGATGATACAGCTTTAAGGTGATGTCACCATCGACCGTGAGTGACATCATTATCAATGTTCTTGTGTGTTTGACTATCATTCAGTCCAAAGATGCAGATTTGGAATTATTTTCAGACAAAGTTTAATTTTTGTTTGCGTCCCAGTGACTGTGATGAAGTTGTGACCAGTCTGGAGCACGTGTGTCATCTTTAACCCAATGTCAGCCAGAACTGGCTCCAGCTGCCTTTGCGACCCAGTGCAGAATCTATTTAAAAATATCAGAATGAACACAGTCAGAGAATAATAGAGATACTTTAGAAAATATTGGTCTAAATAGGACATTTGATTGTTTTTTTCTTCTGTTTAATATTAAAAAATAAAGTTTTGCTGTAGCCACACAGTTTGACAGGATCGTTAAAAAGCTCAAGGCCCTACTAAAACTTCACACCTGCTGGTTCCACCTCAGGCATCACACCTCTATTATGCAGATTGTTTTAAGGATCGAAGGTTGAATACATTATCCAAGGCAACAAAAAAGTTAGTTGAAATACTCATCGTCCACTTATTTCTAGAAAACATTCTCAGACATTAATATCAACTGCTCATTTTCTGTCTTACTGCTCTCTTTAACTATCTTAAAATATCAGAACCATTGAGAGCTGAAAAAAAATGCAGTGGACTATTAATCTTTGAGAGACCTATTATTTAATTGTGCACTGGGGAGCTCAGGCTTGGCCAGGACGCTGATGAGAGGAAATGAATTAAGTGGAGAACAGTGAGCTCTGTCGTTCCGATACTAATGGGATGAGCAGACAGCCAAAGTGAGGAAGAGGAGATGTGATTGTGTGAGAGTGAAGATTGAAATTTATTTAAAATCATGCGACACCAACAGTTGGAATCACGGCACAAACAAACCACTGTGTCGTAGTTTGACATTCTTACAGAAATTTCTGCCAGAAACAATGGTGCTGTAGTGGTTGTCCTGGATTATTCACTAATATTTATGTAGATGTAAATTTTCATCACTATGAAATGAAGGGCGCCCTTAGTGTTGGGCTTTGTGTATGCATACTTGAACTCGCATTCCAGAAACAAAGAGGGCGGTATTGCTGCATATGTCAATCTCCCTCAAGTAAAAGAAGATGAAAAGCCAATATTTGTTCTAATAATTTCATAGTAAAAATTGTGTTTTTTCCCTTTTTGGGATAATCCAGATTGGCGCTGTTTTGTTGTAGTATGAAAATCTCAGTTAGACACATATATATGTATACATACATATGAAAATGGATGTGGCCATGGTTGTGGAGTCAGCCCTGGAGCAGGACTTTTATTTTACCACAATTTGTCACGCAAAGGAGAAATGACTTGTACTTCTGTACTTGTCTTTCCATTTACCACAGCAGTAAACCATTGTCTGTCCATTCTGTATGTATTAGCTAGACTCCTTTGTATTAATATTGATATTGGTTTGCCCAATCAATATTCTTTGATTCATACATAGGAGCCTGGTCATGTGATTTACTGATATAGGCTGATGACACTTCCTGTCTCCAGGACTGGAAAACACTGTCCCTTTTGAGTGATGCACTGGTGAGGTTCACAGATGGATTTGTCCATTTCTTTTGAACAGAATGTGATTCCTATATATGTAACATTTTCTTCAGTTCATCTACTCCACCCTCAAATCTCCTGCCAATGGTTTTGCCGTCAGGCTAAATAACCACCAGGGTCTGTGTCCAAGTGACTGGGAGCCATATTGAATCGTGGAGGTGCTGACCTAACCCTGGCTGCTGTTCAGGTGGTGCAGCTCCATGGGGTGTGTGTTGGGGGAAGGGGGGGGCAGTTGGTAACATGGATCAATTCTGTATACGTCAGCTAGCAGGAATCTGGTTACCAAATGAGCGATTCTCCATGTGCAAATCATATCAAGACATGAGAGCTGTCTTAGATGTGTGTGCAGGAGTGTGTGTGTTTCATTATTTGTAACTGCATTGGGAGCAGCTTGTCTGACTCATGATGTAGTCACGCCTTGATTCGGCTGTGTTCACAGCTGAGCGACGTGTTTATTTGGGATCCAGATCAGTCAGATCATCGTAGTCTTGAGTCCCAAGCGAAGCCAAATCCAGGTGGGTCTGACCTGCAGTAACCCCCGTCTGTCCAAGCAGCAGTAATTGGGCTGTTTTTCATCTGACTGGTTGCACAGACAGCAGTTCAGTTCCACTTTAAAATGAGGTGAAAGCAGAGTAAGTCCCATGAACGGCATGTGGACTCGTACTGGGCAACAGGATTGAATAACAGACTGTTTTTGGCCGGGACAGAGACACATTGTGTGTGGAAATGAGTAAGGAAGGTGGGGGGGGGGGGGGGGGGGGGGGGGTCTTTAGTAGACACTGAGACATAAGAAATGAGACAGCCTTGATTACCAAACAGCCATATAAATATTCTCCTTGTACACTAGAGGTTGGAGGAGGGGTGAGGGAGGTGACGAGAGCATGAGTAAAAGAACAGAGAGAGAAAACAAGGCCAGCTGATGAGCTGCTTGTCCGTCCAGATTGGGGACTTAAGGACAGACCGGTGGAGGGCAGGAGTCATGATTACTATTGATTCAGGAGCAGATTAGAAGAAGTCTCATCAACAGCTCGGACACACACAGACTTTCCTGACTTGGATATGACGTAAGGATCAAATGGAGAAATGCTGTCAGTTCTCAGTTGGACGGATCAGACTTTTCATTTGAGGCAAACACGAAGAGGACACACATTGAAATGCCACAGTGTTTGTTTAGTGCATTTAATTTTTTGTAGTTTATTTAATGTCTGATCGTACATCAATGTCTGCTGTCTGGCTGTCTTTGGTCCCCGCTGGAGGAGATATACTGCATTAATCAGCTTTTTTTCCCCCTCTTCCATCCTGGTGAGCCAACTCTTTTTACGTCTCACTCTGGACACTTTTGTTCTTTCTTTTCTTCTCCTGCAGCTTTACTCTCTCATTTCTTTGCCCCTGCCCTCTTCACCCTCTTTAAAATTCTCCCCCTTCCTCGCACCCCCCTCCAATATCCTGTCCTTTCTCTCCTTTCTCTGCCTTGTCCAATTCTCTTCGTCCTCTCTCTTTTTTCTCAGTCCTTCTGCACTCCCCTTCTCCCTCTGTCTCTCCACTTTCCCCCTCCCCTTCCACCCCCATAACGTCTCTCCTACACGTCTCGCTGCTCCACTCCTCTTGTTGCCTGTGTTGGCAAAGTGGCAGAAAGAGGCGGCTGAGTCCGAGCTAGCTGCATTAGCCACATGCATAATTCATGTGCCCTGCAGTTTGTGTGTGGGTCCGGGTCTTCTGGCTTTTCACTGGGACACATGGGCCTCACGAAAGGTTTGTTTGAGACACACGAGGTCTGATGGATGAGCTGCACAGATGGGGCTATGAATTCTGTAATTTTGGATCCTTCTCCTCGATCCAAAGGTTCACAAAGTTCTTCACAGTTCAACGTTAGAGAGAAAATGATCTGTGTTCCTTGGACTAAATTGAGAATGTTTAATCAGCAACTCTGTTAATACCACGGCCAGGTTCTTTGACAACAAAGCATTCCACCAGTGTGTTTTTCATCTCAAAACCAGGGTTTGGCAAATGTGTCGGCCGTTTCTTTTTCGTCCTAATTTTCATTTAAAAAAAAGACTTTTCTCCCCTCTTTTATTCTTGGCTATGATTTATGTTTCTCTGAGCTGAGCTGGCCCAGCAAGAACAGTTTAGTTAAGTGGATGGTATGAAATTTTAATTTAGACAACCAAATAGAGATGGAATTTTCTCCAGATTGCCATGTGCTTTTGAAGCAGTAGAACAGTAGAGAGAGAGAGAGCGAGAGAGAGCGAGTGAGAGCGCCTTTGGGACAAGAGGAGGGGCCTCTTGGAAAACCACATAGCTGCTTTGGACTCACATCTGCTTTGCTTGACATGCTTTCGTGTTCACTCGGAAACTATCAACAACTGCAGTTCAGTCGTGTTGCTTCTCAACGGCCTGATCAGACTCGACGACCGTCTTCCTCACGCTCTGTTCTTGTTCGAAACTGGTCGTATGGATCATCTACGTCTCCCTAAAGATGAGTTTTGACAGAACGTCGCTCTGCTCCACACAGGTGGCCGCACCAGATTGCCATTGGCCCTGATGACCAGGAGGGCCCCCCGTCCACCGCTTTTCAGCCAGTCCTGGAGAAGTTACAGAGCTGATGTCTCAGAGGGCGAGAGGGTATTTGTGTTCTGGAGTCCAGAAGAGACAAGACACATCTCAGTGAGTTATGATCATTAACATTCGAGACTCTAAAACTGTTGTTTCCCAGAAGCGTAGCATGTGTATTGTGTAAGACTTTTTTTTTTTCAGTCGGAAAATGTTCATGCCGATCGTGCCGTTCAACAATCTTATCGTTTAACTGTTGCTGCTCCACTGATGGACCAAAAGGTGGGATGTTAGGGTAGAGCGAGGATAGTAACTCTCCTGATGAAATGCTTAGGATCTGAGTTTATATAAAGAATGTTTGGCTGCTGCCCAGAAAAGAGTCATTGGAGACGACTCCATGACCCGCCAAGGACAGACAGGAGAGAGAGGGGGGAGAGAGAGAGAGGGAGAGAGAGGAGAAAAGTGAGACAGACAGACAGACCCAAAGAGAGTAAAGGAAGAAAGTGACAGGTCTTCAGCAGCAAATGTGACATGATTCTGCACAGAATGTAGCACCCAGATATTGTTCAGATTTCCAGTCATGTTACTCATTTCTGGATCCAGACACATGAGGTCTGACGGTACACGTTCACAAATACTTAGTCTCTGGTGTCTGACCTTGAGTTTAAGGCAACTGCTCTCTGAACCACTCTGGATGTGCACATTGGTAACTTCTTCCATGTGTCAACAACAACAAAACAAGTCACTTGGATCATTCTGCTCATTTGTGAACACGGTCTCGAAGCTCAAGCGTCGTGCTGTTCCAGGTCTGGCCTGGATGACTTCATCGTGCCAAAGGTCTATCAAATCTCAGGTTTCAACATCGCGTCGCTGATTGCTGCACTATTCTCCTCCACGCTTATTTACTGTACTGCAGGTTGATGATGTCACTTCAACGTCCGTGCCAACAAGTTTTGGATACCTTCAAACATCAGCGTTGTCTAATTGCGATCACCAGTAATCACTCAAATGATACTTAGTTCAGGGTTTTCTTCTATGCAAACAGTTCTGGGTGGAGAATGTAGGAACGTGAAATCAACTTATCATTGTCTCTGATAGACCGTTAGATCACCCAATAGAAGCCAACTTTTTCCAACTGTGGCATGTTCCAAAAGTCACACTCAGCTCCTCGTGTGCAACTGTTAGCTCCCCACCTCCATTCATCCCTCTTCATCCATGTCAATCTTCCTCGATCCAGATAAGTGGAAGGTGCTAAAGTGACACTTTGACCGGTGTGAGGCTGTGCAGAACGATTGCCTGTAATCCTCTTAGGACAGAGTGCATGCTTCTCTACGGTGGAGCGCCACTGACCTACAGTCGATAGTAACTGCAGTGTAGAGTATCTGTTGTTGCTGCTGCTGAGTGTTTACCTAAAACTGAAAAAAAAAAATGTGTTTCTTGTCACATTAGTATGACAGAACACTCCACAGTAGCATCCTGCATTGTTTCCAATGCAGCATCAATTGTTCCCAAAACAAATTAAATCTTAACTTACAGTTAGTAAATTGCACTGTAATGACTTTATCTCCTTGTCTACTGCACAAAGGGATGCTTTGCAATGTCTCTAAATCTTGTGGCAACGTGCCTGACGTCTGTTTAGCCAGTTTTATTTCAGAGGAATAATCAAACCCTCTGTAACTACCTTGGCCAAGATATGGATCATTGGGTTTCTGGCGCACATTCATTACCATTGTTAGCTGTATCGATCACCCCTGTGTCACTGATTCCCTGCCAGAGTTTTCCACATGGTTTCCTCTGCCGCCTGGGCAACGCAAAAACTGCAAAGAAGTTATTCTTAAGATAGGAGTAAATAAATCTGCTGAAGAGAGACATTTCATTTCATTTGATATAGTGAACACATTCAACAAACTTCATAATCTTAAAACACAGGCTTTTGCTTTTAGTCTCTAAAATACTTTATCGACTGTCAGGAAAATAAACTGAACCAAAGGCAGTCGTAAGTCTTCAGATCTGGTGGAGGTTCAATGCTGAGTAGTTTGGACCTCCCTGGGATTTGACTCCCCTCCACCTCCTTGCCACTCCCAGATTTAAAGGCTTGGCTAAGCAGAAGGGGGCACAGCTGCAGAGGTTTAGTGGACGAGCATATTCCAGCATAATTACGCTGAACCCTTTTTGAATTCTGCTCATTTATGGTGGAGCAGATGATGTTAAAATAAGTTAATGTGGCCAAATTCCAAAACTCATCGTGAAAATGGAACAGATGAAAAGAAAATGTAGCATGTTACTTTTTTCTTCATTTTTCCATTTCTCTTCTTCTATGTGCACTTTTATATTTTTCCTTTTGTCCTTTTAGATAAATGGAGGAGAACGAGCGATGTAGGAGCAGGTCTCCGGCTCGGAGGACAAGCCGGGTGCAGCAGGTGGTGGGAACCATAATACGTCGCACCCGCGAGTCGCTCAGCAGGTACAGTGTGGGTATGATTATTAGAACTGACATGCTGGTGCACCGGAGGCTGTGTTTGTCAGGCGAGAAACCTGATTGGTTATTGACGGGTGTGCAGCTGAAAGAGGCGACTTCAGTAGTGAGCAGAAAATACCAACATGACAAAAAAAAAACAATGTGTCAACGTCAATAAAACACAATGCTTTGGTGCAATTCTAAGTTTGTGGGGAAAAACACAAAGAAAACAACATCATTCGCTTTTTGACCTGCTGTCCAGATCCTGCAGTGTGAAGAAGGGAGGGAGGGGGAGAGAGGGGGTATAAATCATCCAACATAATAGCTTTGTTGGTGTTTTAGCTGAGGAAAAAAGGGGAGAAAATGTTCACGAAACAAAAGAAAATGAAAAACAGTCAATTCAACTATGTAAACACACTCACACACAAACACACACTTTCCAGATTGCCTTCACACACCCACACGCTTACACATCACACATATTTGAGTACATATTCAAACCCTAACTGTCCCAAACACACCCACAGTCGACCACAAGTATGCTTTCAAGACTCTGTCGTTCACTCTGCGTCCACTGGCTGAGTGGTTTCTTTTTCTGAGCAGATGAACTGCAGCAGTGGCAGCACAGAGAGCTAACTGACAGCTGTTGTCTGTGCTTATGTCTGTGTGTTTGTGTAAAGGGGGGATGACATTGAGGGTGGGGGGGGATTCTTGCCCTGTCACTAAGCCTGTCATTTCTGAGGCCAGTACAAGCCTAAGAGAAAACTCTTTTTTTTCCTGTTTTTGTTTTAATGCAAAAGAAAACAATACATACACTGTTTACCCAGAGAGGCCGTTGGAGATGATGAGACTCAATGATAGATGAAGAACATGTGCATGTGAACGTGACCTTGGTTTCTCGTCTTCTGACTGACCTTTCAAAACAATGTGCTCAGTAATGGCTATTTGGCTTGAAATCGTACACCATGAATAAGGCTGTATTTATCTAAAAGCCTTACATGACTTCCTGTGACCCAGATGATAAATGGCAGTGATAGTCTTTGTACTACACTGACGTTGACTTAAATCATTAAAGTTTAAATCACTTTAATTTCTCCTTGCATCTCTTTGCAAAAATGAAAAACTATTCTTAAAAATTATGACTCAATATGTTTACTTTTAATGAACTTGTATTCAGATGAAACTTCAAACATTACTTATACGTTAAGGGTCATGTTAGAAAATCTTATACTGGTATTTACTATGGAAAACAGCAACTAGATGTTTGTGATGATGAGCCTGCAAATTAGGTAGCAGTGCTACCGTAGAATGCTATACCTTTTGAGAGACGTGTACTATATTTTCCTTAAACAAGAGGAACAATTGGCATTTACTCAAATTGTTATTGTTTCTATTTACTTTTCTATTAGGTTTCAGCAACATATTTATAAAATCTTGTCACAAATGGGATATCCTGCTATGGATTATTTAGTTGTCAATGCTAATTTCTTCAACGTGTGTTGATGTGCTCACAATGTTTCTTCAAAATGAAATGTATCAACTTCCTCCCAGAATTTATTTACATATAATCAGTAAGAGTGTTGTGGAAAAATGGTTTCACTTAAATTCTCGATTTTAATCAAATTGAACTCATTTGCCTTCCAGGGAGCGACTGCTGGGTGATGGGAGGTCACAGCGCTCCAACAGTCTGTCTAATCAGAACTTCCAGGCCAAGCTGACGCTGCAGATCACCAGGGACCCGGTCCTGGACAGCAGCACTGGTCATGGCTTTACCCTCACCACAAATGCACCCCTGCTGGTCAGGGACATTGCCACAGGTGCGCAGTATGTGTGTGTGGTGTAAACATGTTTTAGTGTGTGTGTATGGGTGAGTCCTCTTTGTGTCTATTATTCCCTTTTTTAACAAGGCGTCACCTGCAGCAAGAAAGATTCGCTGTCTCTCTTCCTTACACGCTCTCACATTTAAAATGTAATGTAAATTGCCAGAGAACAGAACAGGGAACAGAGCCACCTCTGCTGATCCTGTCTGGTTTTAATCTCTCCTTATTTCAACATCCTTGATTGTGAAGATTCACAGAAAGAGAGAGAGGGAAAGATCAAGAAAGAAAGAAGGAGAGAGCTGAGACATTTTTTTTCTATCCAGTGTCTTGCCTTATTATCTGACATGATATGAGGTGTTGCTTCAGCCAGACTCAGCCTCAGAAACAAAGCAAAAGCAAAAACAATGGGTGTGTGATGCAGGGGGGGGGGGGGGGGGGGGGCTGGTGATGACATTGTATTTTGGCGGACAGAGTGAGAGAATGTTGGTGAGGATGTGAGTGGATGATGGAGAAGGATAGAAAGGAAAGAGTAAAGAAGAGAGGAGACTCGATTAAAGAAGAGATCAGGATGTTGGCAGCACCGACGTAAAAACATGACTGGAGGGGGAACTACCTTATCTGCCAGCAGAGAATGTGTTAAGCTGCAGGATGTCTGCGCGCACGTGCGTGTGTATGTGTACTTGATTTTTGGAGCAGATTCTTGTACCATTGTTACTAATTCTTTGAGGTCCAGAAGTCCTAATTTGGACAAACCCTGGTCTCAATAAGTGATTTAAAAAGCTCTGTTTGAGCCAAAGTAAAATAGATCTGTAGGTGAGTTAAGGTTGGGTTAAAAAATAACAGATTAGTATCTAGTTAGGCTGCACAGATTTATTATTTATGTCTATGTTATCCTGTGTGTGTGTGCATGTGTGTGAGAGTGCACGTGTGGAAGATAAATTTGTTGTGCCTCAGCTTTTGCCTGAAGATGAATGAATATAAATAAACAGGAAAAACAGAGCGAAGCCGATCTGGACGAGACCCAGAAAAAAACCCAACAAACTGTAGCCCTGTCCTGAAGGACACAGATGAACATTGTTGAGTCAGCCACGTTGAACAAACGTGTGTGTCTGTTTCTGTGTAATTTTGGGTGTAGGCTACATTCGAGAAGAATTCAAGTTCATATATTAGGTTGGGATTTTCTAGGTTTAGGTCTTCATTAAATTTTTTATTATATTTCTGTGTGTGTGTGTGTGTGTGTAGGGAGTCCTGCAGATGGAATATTGTACCTTGGAGACCAGGTGCTACAGATAAATGAAACAGTGCTGGAGGACCTAAACCCTGAGCAGGTGGAGAACACCCTGAGGTAAAACTGCACAGATTCTATTTATCTACAGTCTGTATCTCACTACATATCATTCTACCATCCTAGTTTTTTCATCAACTCACCAACGTATACCTACCTACATAACACATACTAGGTCCAGAGTACTTGGTATGTGTACCAAATGCATCTACTCACCTTTGGACGTATACCTCCTGGATTACAGGATATAATTTCAGAACAGGAGTGAAACACATACAGACACACGATTCATCCACAGCTATGTTGGGATTAATCAGATTAAAAATTCACATCCTCAGTTACTGCTTTTCATGTTGCAGGAAAATAAAAACACTGGTGTTTAATGTGCTTTTCTGAAACAGCGATCAATAAATGCCCCGTCCTAACAACATTAAGGGCAGTTCCGGATGTTGATCCTCTTATCTGTCAGTGGGTCAGTTTATTATATAGACAAAGAGAAGTGAGGGAAGTCATTCCTACTTCACAAGATCTGTTTAATCAGATCAGACCTATCTGTCTATCTGTGTGTGTGTGTGTGAGCGCGTCTGCCTACTGTACATATGTGTATGCGTGCTTGGCTTAGGAAGCTAAGGTCAAAGGTCAGAAGTGAAAGGACTCAGTTCGACAGCTGGTCAGAAACTAATGATTTCTCTTCTGAGACTGTTTGAGTGTGTGTGTGTGTGTTTTCATGATTGTTTGTGTGTGTGATTTTTGTCTCCGCACAGAAACTTGGATGATTGCATCAATGTGACTATCCTACGGCACATGACAGTGAGTACAAACACACTCACACACGCGCAGTAATTACGCTAGCCCACATTCAAACATAGCCTCTCTGTGTTTTCAAACATGTGACTCTGAGCTGACGTCTTCTGTCATGTATGTGTGTGAATAACTGCTGACCCCTTTGATTAAAGCCGGGTCTGGCAGCGGTGCTGATTTTTAAGATATAACTTTTATATAACAATGTGCTGCTTCGAAACAAATGTACAGCCGAGCTCTGACCCAGTGCTGCTGCCGCACACGGTTGTGTTGCAGAATCCCAAGTCATCCATCATGTCGGCCGAGAAGAGAGCTCGCCTGAGGAGTAATCCAGTCAAAGTGCGCTTTGCAGAGGAGGTGGTGGTCAATGGGCACACTCAGGTGGGGAAAAAAAAAATCTCATCTGGTGCAGAGTGACACACGCTGTGAACCAAAGATGAATGATTCCCATTTCTGTAGCTGTCGTAATGTCCGTCTTGCTGTATTTTCCTGCCGCCTGTTTTTGTCTTTTTGTCGCCTCCTACTTCATCCCACTGACTTCTCGTTTCTTTTGACCAGGGAAACTCTCTTCTCTTCCTGCCTAACGTCCTGAAAGTCTACATGGAAAATGGACAGACGAAGGCCTTCAAATTCGATCATACGACCACCGTCAAGGTAAACATTACAAGGATGCCTGAAAATGGAATTTTCTATTGTTTACACCTAAAAAGTCTTCACCGGATGAAGGATTGTTCAATAATTTTGAGGCCATAAGAGGTGGACACCACATTCTCTGGGTTTGTCCATGCCAAGAAACCTGAAACCATGGAGTGTCAGCAGTGTTGCATGTGTAGACCATGAGTTTTTTTTCAATGTAAATCATGAGACAAGACCAGAGTTCATCCAAGGATTGTGGGAACAGCTGTGTATAATTCGTAATTAAAGCACATCACAAGTCATTGGTGGAAGTTTGACAAACACACGAGACCAACAACAAACCTCGTTGTAGGAGGTCCTTGAAGTGTTACTTCAAGGACATTTAAATGTTCTTATGGGTTTCATATTTCACTTTGTGTTTTGAGTTTGAGCCGGTGTTTTTTTTTGTTTTCATTATTCCAGGACATTCTTCTCACTCTGAAGGACAAACTGTCCATCCGGGTCATCGAATACTTTGCCCTGGTGCTGGAGCAGCAGTACAGCATCACCAAACTCCTCCTGCTGCATGAAGACGAGCTCATACAGAAGGTCGTAGCCGCTCAAGCTAACGTTAATACAACAACATGGTTACTTCTTTAGGTTGGGTTTCAATAAATATGCAGTGACCTGGAAGACAGTGTTGTATATGTGTTGACATGCAGTGTGCGTGTGAGCCAAACCTACAGTATAGAGGACACAAGAAGGAAAAAGAAAATACAGCCAGTCTTATTTTCTTTTCAGTAACAAAAGGATATTCCAATCTGAAAGGAAAATGTTTCTATTTTCCAATTTTTCTAAAATTGTTTAAAAAAATTACATAGAAAAGATAAAATAAATTAAACTTCCGTTTACACAGCTAGAAAGTGAGCAGAGCTTTTATCACCGACTGCATTACATTATCGAGCATCCCTATGTCTTGTCTTATATCTAACTGTTGTCTCTGTCTTTTGTCCTCACCAGGTGGTGCAGAAAAAGGACTCCCATGATTACCGCTGTTTGTTCAGGGTGTGTTTCATCCCCAGAGACCCCATGGATATGCTGCAGGACGACCCCTCTGCCTTTGAGTACTTCTTCCTACAGGTTTGTCCCTGTCTTTTCTTTTGATCAGATTTTAAAACCAAAGGCCTGGCATGTGTCTGAGCATGTGAAAAGTCCCTATGTGTATACAGAACTTAATGTCAAATGTCACATGCTACCGTTGTTGGCTTTCATGATGTTTGTTTAAATGCCTCACACTCTCCTGTATCACAGATCTATGACCTCTGCTTTCATTCACTTTGTCAAAGCCTCAGCTCTAACAAAGCATGTATTCATCTGCTGAACACAGTCACTGTGTGACATAACACTTATGTCATTGACACCTTATTTCTATAATAAGGCCCCAGATGAAAAGCGTCTAAGCCAGATGTTGTTCTTGTGTATTGTTTGTGCAGAGTAAAGTGCTGGAAGTGCCACTTGTGTCACGTTGATTTATTGTTCGTTCAAGCTTCTCCCTGTGTTGGTTTTTGCTTTAGAAATAGCAGCGAAGGTGTCTCCGTGTTGGTTTACTCACAGATTATGATCCTAAATTATGGTTGCTGAAATTAACATGTTAATTAATTTGTCAAGATTAATCAGATTCAAAATTTTAATACTTTCTAATGTGTAGGCAGAAGGATGCGCACTGTATATTCATGCCAACAGTAATATACAGATTGTCATACCTGTTATTTTTTTCATTTTTAGGAATAACAATTTAACTTGATTAATCACGATTAGTCATGATTAAATTAGATTGTGATTAATCGTGATTAATTTACAACTACCCTGCTATAAATCTGATTAATTAATGTAATCAATGGCAGACCTATCTATAATAAAAACAAATATAAGTAGACATGTTTATAACATTGGGTCTGTGTCTTCTTTAGAGCGTCGGTGATGTTCTGCAGGAGCGTTTCGCAGTCGAGATGAAGTGTAATACTGCACTGCGCCTGGCAGCACTACACATGCACGAGAGACTGGACAGCTGTGGACAGACCAGGACTTCAGTCAAGACTATTACGTGAGTCACGTGTGTTTGTTTTTACTTGAAACCACGTTTTGAACTGCAATCATTATGACCGCGACGTGATAATGATATTGTACATGCATGTTGAAAAATTAATTGTTTGTTTGTTTTTTTATAACAGAAAAGTAACCAAAAAGTTACTAATGAGGCATAAAGAATAGTCAAAGATTAAAACTGGTTGTTGACTAACATCTAGTGGCAGCTCTGGGGGGAAAACCGACAGTAATTGTCAAAAACACAAAATTATAATTTTGTGGTTTTTGTAAAAAAAATCACTATAAAATCACTATAAAACTACAATGTCCTAATAGCACACGCAGCCCATGAATCACAGCATTCAAACTTGGTTTGTAGTACTTTACCAATACTTGTAATATGTAATGAATAACTTGGTTTGTAGTACTTTACCAATACTTTATTCATGTAATAAAACAAATAAGTGCATACAGTTTTTTTTAAACAAACATGCTTTTGTACTGAAAAAACAGTTGTTAAATAGTTAACATATTGTAGCAACCCAAATGATGTACAGCCCAGTAGAAGTTCACGGGACAGTGTTTGGGAAACTAATCCATCAAGGTTGCAGAAAACTCGTAAGTGTCACTTTAAATTTTCTGACAGGAAGGAGTTTGGTCTGGACAGCTTCATCTCCCCAACACTGCTGAGCAACATGAGGGAAAAAGACTTGAGGAAAGCCATCAGTTACCACCTGAAAAAGATCCAGTCCCTGCTGGAGCCTCGTCAGAAGGTAAAGTCACTCAGATTTATGAATTGGCGGGAAGAAACTAGGAGGCTCTGCTTTACTCGGGGATATGACGTTAACCCTGGTTTTTCTCTGATCGTTTCTCCTTCATCGTTCGTCCTCTCGTGCCGTGGCCTTGTAGGTCATTTCTGCTAACCAGGCTCGGTTGGCCTACCTCACACAGCTGGGTGAACTCATTTCATATGGAGGAAGATCCTACACAGCTACAATGATGGTAAGAGTGGTGGCCAGGTGCAGCATACAACAACAAACTGTGATGTATATGTAAAACACGAGGCTCGTGGGATGAATATGGCCCGTCAAGTGGCCGGCCTGTGGGTGTTGCTACTATTGAGAACCCCTGATCTATACAGTCTTCGTTCTCTCCTGTAGCTTCAGGACAGAGAAGTGTTGGTCAGCCTGCTGGTTGGAGCCAAGTACGGAATGAGTCAGATCATCAACCACAAGCTGAACGTGATCTCGACGTTGGTGGAGTTCAGCAGCATCAGCCGAGTGGAGTTGCTCTCGGAGTCTGACAAAGTCAGCCTACTGCGCATCTCCCTGCACGACATGAAGGTATAAAGGATCCAGGGCACTCACAGCACGGTGGAGGAGATACTCAGCTGAATTATTTAGAGTCATGTAGGCACTTACACACTGACACAGATGTGAGAAAGGGTCGGACGCTCACCGCATTAGATTTGTGCCAAAGCTCATGCTACAGTAGATATAGGTCAGGCATTTCTGCTTCAATACATCAACAGTATGATGCCTGTGGGCTACATACATACAGACCACATACTGATCCACTGTCCTCTAAGGTGATTGTCTCTCATTTTTTCTCCCACTCCATCGTCTTTTTCTTCCTTCCTTGCCCTTTGGCTTTTACCACTACTCGCTGTCCCTTTTCTTCTGAACTTCCCTCCTTCTTACAGCCATTTGCCTTACTGATGGACACTGTGGCAGCCAAAGACTTAGGTTGTCTACTGGGAGGCTACTGCAAACTCCTGGTGGATCCAAGTGTCAATGTCTTCCGTCTGGGGCGCCCAAAAGTGAGGGTGCACCGGGTTTCTGCTGAAGAAGGTGTGTGTGGGAAGTTCGCCGTAGTAGAGGGCGTGTGCTATGAGTCCCTATCAAGTGAGCAAAAATTGTTTCACTTTAATTAATCACTTTCTTGCTTTGGCCTTTTGATAGACCTTTTTAACCTCATGTTGATGTATGACAACATGTACGGGTACGGCTAGAAAATCAAGAGACATCATTCAGTTTTGACATTTGTATTTTGTTTTCCAGCAGTCGTGTTAACATTTGTTTTGTTTCCGTTTTTTTCTCGGTCCAGGTTATGTGTCTCGTTGCTGTAGTGACTCGGATGATTCATCAGATGAAGACGACCCGATGGATTCTCAGCGTCCAGACCCTGCAAGTCAGGATTGGGAAGAAAGGAGGCGAGAGGAGGAAGGGAAGAGGAGAGAAGAGGAAAGACAGGAGCGAGAGGAGCACAAGGGCAAACAGGAAGTGAAGATAATAGTGACAACAGAGAGTCAGGAAAACGTTGAGGAAGAGGAGGCTGGCGCATCGGGAAGTGTTTTAGGCAAATTCAGTTTAATGGATGAGGATATGAACATGGAGAGCACCTGGTACCACACTGACCCACGGGTCACCAGCAGCTTCTCCAGCCTATCTAGTGGCTCCATAAGTGCTGCACTGGAAGAGTGCAGTGTTGCATCTAAAGCCTCATCACGTGTCGACGTTGTCCAGGGGCAACACAATGTAGAAAACCTAACAAGCTTGGATGTCCATCAACCCTACCTCCTAGAGCCAAAACACCACCAGGGCCCTCTACGGCCCACCAACCTCAATTACCGTGCCAACGACAACACCCGCCTTTGTTTTGCGGATCTGTCCAAGGCCAACTTCCTGCCCAGTCCCCCTGAGGCCACCAGTGATGATGACAATGAAGAGATGGAGGAGGAGGGAGTACATACACTTAGACGCATTTCCAAGATTCCCAGCTCCAGGGATTTGAGATTGATTGACACCATGCCTTTCCAAAGATCACCCATCAAAAGAAAGAAGAAGAAGATACCTCCCAAAGTCCCTGTCAGGACCAGTTCAATTCCGGGGAACAAAGCAGGAAGAGCTGAGCAGCGTCGCTCCAAGGATGAAGAAAGTCTGTATCTCACACCTTCACCGAACCCTAAACCTGGTCTTTTGACCAAAGAGATGGTCTCAGATTCAGAGGAGGAGTTTTTTGATGCACAGGAGAGGTTTACTCCGCCTGTCCCTGACCTGTCAGGTGCGTATACATTATTATCATGTAATAATATTACATATTCAAAGCCTAGGAATAAGCTAGCTTAATTTTTATGCCATTTGCGGTGTGTTTGGGATCATTGCCAAAAAACAGTGGCTGAAATATAGCCTCACAGTCTCATTGTAGGTTTGTCAAAATACAAATATTTTTTTACTTTTTTACATTCATGTGTTTTATTAGGATGTTCCTGTTGATAGGAGCTTGTGTTAAAATACGCTATGTCACAAATGACTTTGTGATGGCAAGATGCATTCATGATAAAATATCACTTTGGCTAGCAGAGGTTATTATGCCTTTGCTTTGTATTTTGATTTAGTATTTCCTCTGATTTAATTTGTCTGCCTTACAGATGCCGAGCTGGCCGATCGCCGAAATGCTAATAGGCTAATTGGAGCCTGGAACGGTGTCACGGCTGCTCCAGGCAGAGAGCCATCATCCCCTCTTGCCAGTAAAACCCAGTCCTCAAAAATAAATAAAGATGTAGAGACACTAAAAGGCCCCACTAATCAGCATACAAGTCAACAGCCAAGTTCACCAAAGTCATCGCAGAAACCTGAAGGTAAAGTCAAACCACCACTGGCACCTAAGCCTCAGTTGCCTCCAAAACCTCAGGTGGTTCCTCCTAAATCCCCCCAGCATGGGAAATCATATGCCCACTGTAACGGCGATGCATCCGGACGTTTGTCTTCTGATCTCCTGGAAATGGAACCAGACACCATGGAATTCAAATCTCTGACATCTGGTGCTGGAGGTCTGCCTCTGTCATCACCCCTGATCACCGCTGTGAGATGCAGCAAACAGCCTTCACAAACGGAGGAAAAAACAAAAGCAGCTAAAGCAGATGTGTCTAATAAAAAGGAAGCTCCTCGAGCAGAGAGACAGGTCAACGGCAACGGGCCATTTGCAAAGAAACCACCAGATCTACTTCCTGTTACTCAGTCTAATCCAGGTACGAAGCCAGCCGGACCCCCTCCAGTGCCACCAAAACCTACTTCTACCAATTTCCATCCTTTGTCTCTACCAGGCAGCTCCCCTGTTTCTCCCACAGAGCCAAACAAAGGTATTAACCCCTGGAGCAGCCGTAATGGCAACATCCCGTCAGGACCACGGAGAGTTTCTCTGAGCCACGAGAGTCTGTCACCGAAAAATACAGAGGCACCCCTCTCTCTCACCACCTCCCTCACCTCCACTAACTCTAAATGTGAGAGCAGGGAACCAGGGAGGTCTGAGTCTGGATCAGATCTCAGGACCAGCTCCTCCAGTCTGGGAGGCAGACTCCCGGCCTCTGCCCTGAGAGGGAAAATCCAGTGTCTGCCGTGGTACATGACTCGTTCCCAGGAGATACTGGGAACACTGGACTATCCTTCCACGAGTTCCATCAATGGAGACACATCTGGCTTTGGATCCGGTCTGTCTGTAGCAAGTGGTTTATCAGATTTAAACAAGACTCCTGTCAAGGAAAAGGAGAGTATAGCCTCTAAGTCCATTTTAGAGGATGGTGCTGAGGTAGTCATAGCAACCATCAAAGAGGCCCAGGAAGTGACCTCACACATGAGGAAGGCCAATGGCACCAACGGCTCCCATCCTAATCTGAACTTTAAAGGGGATAATTGTGTCTCCTCCGAGCAGCCTCAGTCACGGCCTCACTCTGCGGTGGGTTTAGGGGGTGTGTCCAGCATGCAAATTGGTGGTGACTCACCCACCTCATCACTCGCAGACAGCACGCCACCACAGCAGCACCGCGACGCCTGTGGCTGTCACACCGTCTACGCCAACTGTTTCAGCGGGGACACTGAGGATGGGGTCAATTTTGATGAGGAGCTGACCGTTTATGAGTTCTCACAACGCGCACGGCCAAGACCCACGCAACAGCCACCGCTCCCTTCTCCTACAACACCGCCTCCGAACCCTAATATCTTGTCTCTGCTAAGAGACAACCCCCGCCCGCTCACTACTTTCTCCACCGCCTCCTCTGAACTCAGTCCTTTAGTTTCATGTCCAGTTTCCCCCAAATCCTCCTACGGTGGTCGGCTTCGTTCTCTCACAAACAAAAATTATGGGGGGCTGAAGGGAGGTTTTGCCTCCCTCCGTCAAGATATAGACCAACTCCTACTAGTCCTAGAGAATCAAACACTTGAACCCCCACAGCACACCTCCTGTCAGGACTTAAAGCAGGATAACACAGGCATGAAATTAGGACCCGATCTGAATCACAACGCAACTGAAGATTGCACCAACCCCGTCAACTGTAACGGGACCAGCTCCATCACCATGACGGAGGCTGAAAGGGCTCTCCTGCAGGCGGAGGCTCGGCGACTGGCGTCTGGGTGTCAGCGGGCCACACGAGTGGGCTGGGCCCCCGATGAGGCCTTGCGTTCTTTATCCAACAGCTTCAGTGCTCTGGTGCAGCTGTCTGCGGCCTGCCTGCGGACGGACCCTTGCTCTGGCTGTAACGTTTGCCGTAACCCCAGTGTGGGCCACAGCGAGGAGGACGATGACGGTGAGAAACCCACGGAGAAACTGAAGGAGATAGTGGGTCTGTACCGGGACTTCGTTGGGGCCGTGGAGACGGCAGGAACTGGTAAGAACAAGAGTGCCAGTTCGGGACAGGGCGACGGAGAGTGTGATGGGGTTCGACTCCTCGCCAAACGCTGCACTGTGCTCATCTCCTCCGTGTTCGCACTCACACAGCTCTTTCGAACACGCACACTAGACCCAGAGCCGTCTGCTGGACCCTTACCTCTCAAGTTTTGACCAGTGAACTTTAATCCACTTAATACACATGATGACTCTGGAGGCGAGAGCCCAGCTGATGGGTGCGTGACCCCTGTGTTTTTAAACGGTCAACGCCATGGACCCCACAGCAAACGGACCCACTTGGAAACAACACAAGCAAAAAAAGTTGGGCCACGTCACGGCTCCGCCTCTTTTCCGACGCATATGAACTATGCATTTGTACATATAAATTTTATAATATATTATAATTATCTTATTTTATGATACAATATGTGTATGTAAGTAAGGATTGATTACCTGTGTATGTATTTATGTATTTATTTTTACAATATTTGCACCATGTTCTTTGACGTGCAAGTCTCTGGTGAAGAAGAAAAGAAACTACAGATATCACTGGAATTTTTATTTTCCCTTCTCTTTTTAGACAGTGTTATGTTCCTTGACCTTTTGCTGCTTGAACGGTTTATCCACTTCAGAAGGTGTAATCTGTAAATGTTTCAGAATTTTTCAAAACGAATATCATCAATCGATGGTTGTTACTGCGAAGATGCAGTAAAACTTACTTCGACTCACCTGCCGGATACAGTCATTGACTGATTTGTTTTTATATGTGCCGGGACTACACCGGATTACATCAGGGTGTAGTTTTCAACGGTGCAGTTACACACTAGGGTCGTCAGATTTAAAATAACATCAAAACAGGGAGAGCACTTTTGACTGTTACAGATTGTACCTTTTTTTTAAAAAAACAAAAACAAACTAGAGTCATACCCTTCTAAGTGAATGCTTCTTGGAAATACGTATCCTACATTTTATCAAATGTATGCAGTATTAAAGCATTACTCTAGTTTTCCTCCAAAGGGCAGTACGGTATATATATATATATTTTGGAAATGTGTGGAAAGGGCCCAGGAGAGGGGGCATAACAGGGGACCTAATTTATGTGGTTGAAAAAAAAAATATGAACATAAATTGTGACTTGCCACAAGTGTGACTGTTAAACTTTGTCCAGATGTAGCAGAGATCCAAAGTCTTGAAACGCTGAGCCACAACTGCTTCCCACTATGAGTTCCAGTTTTGTTTTTTTACATCACCTGGTCGGTAACATAGTGAGAAGAACTTGCGAATTGTAATCATCTCTGTGATCTGTTCCACCTTTACCTTAGTTTGAGCCTATGCAAACATCCATCCCTCACTACCACACTGTGTTCTTATTTGTCATGCTCCCGTCAAATGGTAACAGTGGCGTTCTAACCTAATGGGTGCTTTCTTTCTTCAGAATATCTGGTTTTGGAGAGAAATATTCAACATTGGGCAAAGTTGTTCAACATGGGCATCTATCAATATGACGAGTCCTGTGTCCTGTGTACACTGATGCCTTGAGTTGAAGACTGATTAACGCTTCGTCCATCCGCAAATGTTAAGTATTCGCTTAATGAATTACTAATGAATTTGACATATGTTTCCAGAGGCAGCTATTGGAGAACACATTTTTACATGATTTGTTTGGGGGGAAAAAACAAAAAACAAAACAAAACTTCCAGGTGCCATGAAGGTATTATAGGGTAGCAGTGTTCATTTTAGCACTAACATCAAGACATGTCCCAGGAGTAAAAAGTGAACCCGTGTCAACTTTTTGTTTTGTTGTCAGAAAATGTATTAACATCATTACTTTTTATTAATTTGTTTTTTAACAAGGACCTGTTTCTTTATGAGCAGTCACTAATTTCTTATCCACAATGACATTGATGTACCCGATATGTTGTTTAGGAATAAACTACACACTGACCTAAATGGTGCTGCTGGTCCACTTTAATGGAGTTCTATTTTAAGTCTGTGAACAAATACGTTTTCAGGCATTTTCTCCTCAAGAGTCTGTGAATCAAAAATTAGACCAAAATGCATTAACTTTGGCTAAAACGTTAAACCTGGAGGTAAATAATAGAACAGCTTGTAAAATGTCTTTAGTGCTAATTAATTAATGGCCATTACCGTACAGTTTCATTCCCAGTCTGGAGATGAAATTTGCATTTACACAAAACAAATATATGATGATTTGGAGCAACAACACAACACCAGTGGGTCTCAATAGGCGGCTCGTGGAAAATCACAAATCTAAAACTGTATTTAAAACAAAATCTGACCCTAGTGTTTATTTAAATGGTAATTGATGAGAAACACAGTGACATCAATCACACAGGTCTCCACACAGAGGAACCATTCAGTTCCATGATAAATGAGCGTCGCCGTAACACTGGCAACCCCATCATTTGTCATCAGTTTAGTGGCTTCAGCATTTTCAGCCCAAGATGTCAGGCAACGAAGTGACTCACTGACATTTCAAAAATCCATTGTTGGAACATTTTATTTGGCCGTAGATAACACATTTACAATTCTGCACTTTAAGGGATGTAATCATAAAGGATGGTACATTCAGAAACAACAAGTAACAATGCAACTCCCCTGAAAAAAAATAATACACAGGTGTAATGACACAAGGGCCATGTAAGCAGACAGGAAGTAAAGTGGGAAATTAGGCCAAGTGATACGTATGTAAACGGCAGCTTGAGCTTTTTGTGCCACTGAACACCGTCCTTGTCTTCTCTCAGAATCGTCTCCCCCCCGCGCCCCCCCCTTGAGTCCAGCCAGCATGCCTTTCCTCTTCAGGCAGCTGAACTCACAGAGAGCTGCCACGTGGTGACGAGAGTCTACTCCAGCTCGAAATCTGAGCCCATTATGTCAACAGATGTTACTGACACACAAGAGAGACGCTACAGCAGGAAATGTAAAAGAAGTGACCCAGTGTGAGAGTGAGTCTTGTACAAAACTATTAACATCCATCTTTAGAAAAGGAAAACAAAATCAAAACAAACACAAGGAATCTGTGTTAAAGCAACTATTCCAGAGTTTGGTTCAATTCTTAATGTTTACAAAAAAAACTGAAATCTGTGATTTATTGGACAATTGTTAGCAGAAAGCAGTCAAAAGAGTATTTTCATGAACTGATCATCAATAATTTTATCTTTCTGAGGCACAAGTGTCCAGATAGCAAACTACATTATGGGTTGCATTTTGCTAGGCTACTGAGAATGTTTTATTCCTGGTCTGTGCTACTGTCATGATCCCGTTTTTTTTCCACATTTCTCAAGTGACTACAGAATGGGCCACACTGAGGTTGTGTCTGGGCCACACGTGGCCCTTGGGCTGCAATTTGAATAGGCCAGAAATAGACTGCAGCTCTGGGCTTTTATACACGGACGGAACAAAATCCACAAACAAACAAGTACTGATTATTATCCCCAATTACTCACTGACTAAAGTTTAATTAAGGAACGACCAGGCGTTGAACTTGTAGCTGTCTTGAAGTCTAGAGTATTTGCAGGTATCATTCATAATTTGGTCAGGTTAGTTTTGTCCCTTTGCCTGAAAATAAATGTTTGGTGGTTAGAACAAAGTACCAATTTTAAGAGTTTTTTTTTACATTATTCAAATAAATAATTAATCTTAGTTTAATTATTACTTCAATATTTGTACAATTTGAAATATATTTTAAAAACAGACACGACGTGAGGGTAATTGTATGGTTTACTGACACATCAATGGGCACTTGTCACATGTCAAACATGCATACAGTGAATCCCTGACACACGTGGCAAACAGTGCTCTACAATAAAAAGGTTACATGGATAAATTTGTATGAAAAGAGATTTTTTTTTTAAATCAAAAAGAAAGCATTTCTGTGCCTTTTTGGACAACAACCACATCCTGTAGTCAGCATAATCATGTATAAACTTCTAATTACTAATGATTTTATTTTACTGAACAGAAGAAGCACAAAAGAGGTTAAAGGCAGATTTCAGCTTTATAGACAAAGTTCTCTGAGTAAAAAAATGATGTCCACCATTTTCCACAGCACACAGGAAACAACTTTTTCTACAAAACACTTGATCCTGTCAAACGTGTGTGTGAATGAAGCAGTTCAGTTTGCTCCGTCAAATCTTTGTACACAGAGCAAACAGGGGAGTTCCTCTTGGACCCTGGAGTTCTGTATGGTCTACAGTGTGCATATTATGTCATTAAAACTTGATATATTAGTAAACTGTCACAATGGCAGGACATTCTCACACCAACTGAAAAACTGCCTCGTCATTGCTTCCCTTGGTCAGAGATACCCCAGTGTCTCAGAAGCATGACCAGGCACAGAGTGCATAGGCTTTACTTTACAGTTTCTCTCTAAGGACACACTCCTTTACCCGTTTCTACAATTTCCTTTTCCCTTTGACCAATTTTCTTTCTCTCCATCCGTCTGCATTCCTTCATCATATGAGCTTCAGCAGCAGCTCATAGGTGGCGTTGATGATTCCCCAGGAGAGCAGCGATCGGTGGTAGTTGAGGTGAGCACCTCTGAAGAGCATACGGACACTGCCACCCCTCTCCGTCCACACCGTCAGCAACACTTTTCGGTAAGACTGGAATGGCCCACCAACCTGAGACTGGGCCCGGGACTTGACAACATTGAGTGGATAGAACATAATCCCCAGGCCAGCCCCCAAAACCCCTCCACACACAAAATCATTGACCAAATTACCGGCCCGGCTAGTGGCTTCTGGGAGCTGCTCTTTAATGGGCCCCCGCAGCCCAAAGAAGAGAACGTTGCTAGGGCAGTTACGAAGGAGTATGGGCACGAGGCCGCGGTAACACTCTCTGACACCATACTCAGTCAGAAGTGTCCTGAACGTGTGGGCTGTGTTGTTGAAGCGGCCGTGATGCCGATGGTCTTGCAGAAGAGTCTGCACGCGCTCAAATGGCGTCAGGACTGCCTCTGCAGTTCCTGCCAACGCTGCAGCAAAGCTTCGTGTCACCAGCTCTGGAATGCCACTGCCGTCCGCTCGGTTCAATAAGACTCTGGAGAAATCTTCATACAGGCCAAACATAATGGCAACCGTAGTACTCTTCTGGAGCAGTGGGGGCAGCAGACCCCGGTAAAGATTCCTCAGTCCATCCCTCTGAAGCTGCCGCACTGCCTCAATGGCCAACACACCATGCAGCTGCTGGCGGAAAAGCACCTTCTGGATGGGGAAGGTCACCACAATATTGGTAAAAGCTGCAATGGAGCCGCAGATGTAGTGCTTTCTTTGAGTGCGTAGTGTGGTACCCAGAGCCCCAGCAGACAGCAAGGAGTGACCTCCATTGGTTAAGGCAGCCTGGGGCTGAGGTGTTCGTGTTGACTCTGAGTCCATGGTTCTAACAGCCATGGGAGGATCTTTGCACCACAGCCTGATTCTCAAGCACTACATCAGCAAAACATTCTTCTGGTAAATAGGCAATCTGTGACAATGAGAGAAAATTGGATTGACCTTATAGAGAAATCATCACTTTTTAAACAACCAGAAAAAAAGCATATTATAGGACAAAAACCATATCTATTATTATAAATTATTTTAAAAAATAGATGTTTAGAACAAACAATTGCCATTTTTTTCTCATGAGATACACAATTTTATAAATTTATAAATTAAGTCACAATAATTGATCAAATATGTATCAAATTGAAGTTTGTTTACATATTTGAAGGTTTTAATGTTTAGAACAAACAATTGCCATTTTTGAAGGTTTTGATTTTTTAAAATTCTACACAGCATTTGTTGCAGTTTAGATTAAACTGTTTAAACCCTTAAATCTGCCTTAAGCTCGTACGACCATGAGGCACCAACTGGTAACTGATAAGAGCAGTTACACAATGTAACAGACTGATAAAGTTCAGCTAAAGACAGGAGAGGACAGCTGTAGTGGGTACAAAAGGAATCTCTTTTATTCATTTGATGTTCATTAGATATAAGAAAAAAACATTTTTTGCAATGCTGACACTATTAGAGAATCAGTGATTAATTGACGATTAGATAAATTCATTATTTGTTTTGATTCTTTTTTATAAGACACGAAGACTTCTCCAATATAACTGTAAAGTTTAACCACTTCTTTATATATACTTTCTGAACCCACACTAATAAAAACAATGCTTAATGGTTGATCCATGATTATAATAGTGCTAACTTAAAGATCAAAATTAATTATGTTGTTATGAAAGAAAGACAGGTGTTTTGTGTACTTTTTTTTAGTAAATAAAGCAAGTGTGGTCTAAATATAGGGCAAGAAAAATGTTGGAGCAAATGTCTGAGGTCATCAGAGGTCAAAGCCTGGTAACCAAAAATTCACTGTTGTCGGGGACCTTTGTTTCATAATAACATTATAAAATTGACCTGTTCAACTATTTCCATTGTGTTAACAAACAGCGTATTTTACAGGCTAAAATAAAAAAAAGGAAAACATTACAAACATTGAGCATGTAACAACTGTATCATCAATACAACCTCTGTTAACTTGCTGAATAATATTTTAAGTCTTTATATTAATCATGTGCACTTCAATAGACAATTACCTCATTATTTAACGCGACGGTATTCTATGACTAGACAGTAGAGGAACACGCCCTCTGTGAGCTGCTTCCTCAACCACAGCGTGTCGTGTCATTAATGTTTTTATTTCGTAGATTCATACACCATATGCAGAGGTCTGGATAACAAAACGCATGTTTGATCCACTATGTGTAAAAACGAGAGTATAAAAATATTATCAGAAGCTCGCATATGTTGATGGGTTAGCCTTCGTAGCTAGCGTTATGGAGCTCTTCACAGATTGGCCCGCCTCTGTTAATAACGTTTACGTCAAATAGACACGTAAAACAAAACTCTATGAAGGACAGAACGTGAGACTTCATACGAAGATACATGGGAAATAGAGGCTTGCCTGATAGGCAAGCTAGGTGGCTAATGTAAGCAAGAGTCAAAACGGACAACCCCCGCTTCATGGTTAATTGCGTACACTTTTGACAACAAAGACATAAAAAGTCATTACCTGTAGCTCGCACATGAACTGGTCCTACTCTTGTGCGAGTGGAGTTCAGTTTAATTCAGTCACTATACTGGATATAGGTCGTGTCTGCACTTCCCATAGCAGGTGACCGCAGTCAATATATGGCGCATGCGCACTCCTGCATGTCCATCACCATAATCGGTCCAAAATGCTCTAAACAATGCAATATATCGTGTCAGTCTATTATTCTGCAAACACTATAAATATTTCTTGGCTGACAAGTGGTCGTAGAACGTTCTCACACAGAGGAAAATGTCCAAAGTGATTTTTCTTACATTATTTTGGTGACATGGGCGGATGTTGGCGGCGTTTGACGATTGGTCGTAAAGAAGGACGCAGCATTTTGTTTTTTACGACAGCGATGTGAAACATCAAAACGCTACAACGACAATTAGATAAACGTAGCTTTCATCGGTGGCTTAGAAGTAATTCACGTTTCCGTTTTACATTTTGTTAATGTGTGCTTTTGCCAAAGTAAGTTATACAGATCAGTGTGGCCAAAGGCTGTCGCAAATATGTCCACTGTGACATAGCTAAAGCTAACTAGCCTATGCTCCGTATTTTTTACATTGCATAGATAAGGGTTATATTTAACAAAATAACACCGATTATTTAAAGGAATTAAACATATGTCCGGAATAGCTGTCTGATCCATGTTATTGTTTGGTTTATAATATTTGGATTTGAAGTCTATCAAAAATGTCGGCGCAGAAAGACTGTGAGTTTTTAGTGAGCAGAGCTCGGGAGCTGGTCTCTGATGACCCATGTGCGGCCATAGCCTGGCTCATCACAGGCAGGACCCTGTACCCTGCAGACTTTAACATACAGGTAACACATTGATGAGTCTCTTGAGTTTGTGTGTCCCTTTAAATTGATATATACGTTGAACACTTTAAACACAAAAATCACCTGTCATCTGTCAGTGTCCTGTTACATCAGTTTTGTTTGGTAGTGATAACGACCTCAGTTGTTTGTCTTATTATAATGGCTTTCAGTGTATGCATCCGGCTTTCATCTGCATTCAGAATGTCAACTGCTGGCACTACATAAGAGTTGTTTTAAGGTCTTTAGGACCCATTTAAACAGTTTAATTGTTTTCTTATAAATTATTTTAATTGAACAATTATTTCTATATCAAACATTCTGAAGCAGAGTAACTTTTATTTTTCTTTCTGTTCACCATTTCAGCTATAGGTCAGGTTATAGCTAAAAAATAATTTTGTTATGAATCACCTCCCATGTTCTAAATGTTGACCTAATTTCCACAGTATGAAATGTACATCATTGAAAGAAATGCAGAGAGGACAGATTCAGCTGGGAGACTCCTGTATGACATGTGAGTTAAAGTGTGTCATTCTGCGATGCTTGGGTGAAGTTTTTTGTATCAAACCTGTGCTTATTTACAAAGTATGTTTTTACTGTTTAGGTTCCTAAAATTTCCAGATCAACCAACTGTTTGGCGTGAAATCAGTGTCATTACAGCTGCCCTGCGTAGTGACACTCAGGACAAGCATGCACAGTTTCTACGAGGTAGGTTGAAATAGTCCTGTATTAAAAGATAAAGTTTGCTATTAGTACTTTGTACTCTCTCGGTTGTCTAGTCTTTCTAGTCTTACTTCAAAGACACGGCAATACACTTTCACATTGTTTAAAGCCTAGGTTATGATGTCTCACAGAACAGACTTTAGTCATGTGGTTGATTTGAACAAAGACAGAGCACACATCCCCAAATAATGTGACATTCCTAGTTTTTTTATTATATGCAAGTCTTTTTGAATCCTCAGGACTTTTTGAGACACTTACTGGACGTGTGCAGCGTGAAATGCTGTTGAAAGCCACTGAGCAGTGTTTCAACACTTTGGAGAAGGCAGAAATGTTGCTGCTTCTTCTAAAGCGTTTCCCAGAGTCTGTGGTTCAACATGGGGTAATTAGGAACAGATCTTTACTGATGTTTACTACCTTGTTTGGCTGTTGCTTTTTAATTTTAATTAATTTGTAATTTTTAGGTCAATTTAGGAGAGACATTGTTGGATGCAGAGGTGTCAGAGAATGTGGAATCTCCTGTCAACTGCTTTAGAAAACTTTTTGGTGAGTAAGAAATTGTCTTTTCTAGTCAAATTAGGTTTAATTTCCAAAGGACACTTGGTAAACAAAGTTTTTGTTGACTTGAACAGTGTGTGATGTCCTTCCTCTGGTCATCAACAACATGGACATGCGTTTGCCGACCAGCCTGATGCAGAAGTACATGCTGAAAGCAGCTGAATTCTACATTGGTTATGTTACCCGTGGACCTTCACCTGATGTACAGATTCAAGGTAATGCCTCATGTTGCTTTTAACTAGATTTCCTGCCCCACACTGGTTCAACCATTTCTATTTTTTCACTTTTTTTAGGCTCCCAGGAACCTGGGTCTATAAAATCACCCAGTATGTCCCGTGGTTCCCAGCGATATGTAATTGACGGCCTGTCAGAAAAGTCTTCGGTAGTAGCAGAGCCTTGGGAGAAACTTTTGGACATTCTCACTGTGGTCGGAGCGCGATGCGAGTGGCAGGGAGACAAAGGACAGAGGTGCTTGGATTTTTCCTTGTCCCTGTTAATCAGGCAACACTGTTTGTTTGAGCAGACATGTATCAAGACGCATCAGCAAATTTATTGGACATATCCAGAAGTACTGGCACATACACCAATATAATGACCTGTAGTACTAAGCTTATTTTTCAATACATGTAATTTCAATTAATTAATGACATGACATCACAAAATTACCCAGGTTACTTTTGACACAGGTAGAAACTTAACACACCTGTATGTTTGCAGGTGTTATGTTGACATGTTGCTCAGGGTGAGGGAGTTATGTCGCTACCTGCCAGGCCTGGAGGGAGAAACACGTGCCCGCTGCTGCAGTCAAGTGGTCATCTGTGCTGCGCTGGTGCTCTTCCGCAGTGCCTTTCTCTATGTCTCAGCTATACAGCCTACACTGTTCCAGGGTCAGCGTCTGTCATGGGAAGAAGATACATTTCACTTTCTCTCTGTAGACAAGGCCTTTTCAAGTTGTTAATGCTACCCTTTTGTTTGGCAGGTGTAAACGTGCTGAGCTCAGGGCCGTGGATCCTCGTAGAGGATTTAAGCTCAGTGTATAATGACATCGAGGTGGAGAGGGCATCAGTGAAACATGCTCATAAGAAACGCAAACTGGCTGATGGGAGAGATAAGACTATGGTGAGATAAGATTTACGTCTTTAGGTCTGTCTCTAAATATTCTGTGATGTACAGTACGTGTCATGTGTTTCTTTTGCATTTGTCTCATGGCTCCTGTTCTGGTTTGTGTAAATACAGAGCTCAGATGATGAGGAAGGGCTGGGGAAAGGTCGACAGATTTTAGTAAACAAGACTGACATGCTCAGTTGGGCAGAGACGCTTGACAGTTTTCGCACAGCGAGGGAGAGCTGGGACCTCCTCCACTCCCATGATGCCCTAGAAAATGGTAAAAAGAAAACCTCTGATGTGGCGATGAAAACAACAATTTGTGATTTGGTTTTTTCTCTTAATTGGTGTGATTTTCTGTAAAGAAAGATCATTGTTTACTGGGATTTTTTTAATAACTAAAGGAGCTACATCTGTTGATAGTAGGGAGGGTGGGATCACTAGGTTTGTATATAAAATTGAATTGTGCTTAGATTTAAGTAATTTATACACTAGGTTTGTATATAAAATTGAATTGGGCTTAGATTTAAGTAATTTATATACAGTATATCTCATTTATGCAATTTTGCTTTTTTTGACAGAGTTTAAGAAGATCTGTGCCTCGTGGAAGACAGACTCCTGGCTGTGGTTTAGAATATTCATCACTGACATGATCATATACCAGGCAAGACACACTGCAGACCAGATCTGAGAGATAGCAGAGCCTTAGTCTAAATAAAGGGACGAGGATTATACATCTTTATTTAAATGTTTCTAAAGATCATTGAAATATATTTTCTCAACAATAACAAACTCAGTGTATCTTATCTTGGTATTTTATGAACAGTTGCTTTTGTTTAGTAGATAAGGATGAAACTGAAAAGGATCAATACTTTTTCTTTGTTGAGTATATTTTTACATTTGATAGAATGTTCCCCTTCTTAAAATGTGCTGATGTAGAAAAACACCCAGGAAATGGCACAACCTCTTGTCAGCTTTTTAATACTTCTATGTTTAAGTACGTTTATAAGTTAATGTATAATACAATAGTGCATAATTTGTTGTAATATATAACAATTTGATGAATAAATAACAATAGATAATAAAAATAATGAAATAATAAGCAGTTGATCCTTTAAGAATGACAAATTTACAAACTTTTGTAAATTTTATGAACAAGTAAATATTTATACAATTACATCTAATTTAAACACCTAAATTGATTTATGGCTTCAGTTAAAACAGTCCTGTTAGCTACGTTGGGACTAAGAACATGAACATTAATAAGAGGCACTTATCGAAGCACATTTTTTCACAGAGTGAGAATTTCTGTGTTTGGAATTTTACACCATTTGGACTCGAGTGTCTTGTTCCCATCTGTGCAGGGCCAGTACCGTAAGGCTCTCTCCAGCCTGCACCAGATGGCCTCAGTGCAGCCTCAGCCTGGACAGCAGAGCCCCTCAGGACAGGCCAGTCTGGAGCACCACAGGGCCCTGATACAGCAGGCGTCCTGTCACTACGCTCTGGGAGAATACAGGGTAAAACAAACGAAAACAGAAAAGACGCTTTAATTTGTCTGTCCTTTCCTGTGTCATTTAGATTTATTTCAATGCAATTCAAATGACTGACTGCATTTCACTTAATACTTACTACATTTAAAAGTTCTTGTAACATCATGGAACAATGACATTCTAAATTCATTTATTTCAGACAGAGTTCACTCCAAAATGATTCCTCTGTCGGCCATGCACTAATAATGTATCACTACACAAACTGGCCTGTAGGTGGTGGTAGAGTTACAAATGTAACATTCTCTTACGTCATTCTTTTCATAGTCACTGTAAAAATAATGCAATTATTGCAGCTGTTTGCAATTTAAAGAAATACTTCCAATGCAGTCGTTAAGTCTGTTAAATTTTAACAGTATAATTTGACTCTTGACTTGAAGTGTGAGTATGTGTTTGTGTATTGTATTCTCTTGTGTACGTGTGTATGTTTTTCAGATGGCCTGTGAGAAGCTTCTTGATGTCGTCAGTGGTTTGGTTCCCCCAAACTACGAACCCTCGAAAGTGGCAGAGGATCAGGGTAGAATCAAGGGCAAAATAAGAAAAAGTAAAGATTGAATTTTTTTTTTTTTTTGCAAAGCAACATTTCTTTTTAATAAGAGATAAATTATGTAAATATTTTTGTGTTGTGGTCGTGATGTTTATATATTTTTTTTTAATAACCAGACAATGACCTGAGGCTGCTTCCGTGCACTAGCAAAGCTGTGTTGCCTTTTTGTCTCCAGCTCATGTTAGCCTGCTTTAAGGTAGCTTCCTCCACCTCACTCTGTAGTAATGTCTTCTCCTTTTTTATTTATTTTAATCAATGTTTTAATCATTTTTTTCTTTCCAGCTGCGTGCTTTCACTGACAGCCGTGACGACCTCTCTCTGGGTCATGTGGTGGTGCTGCTGCAGTACGATTGGCCGCATGGCGAGACACTGTTTTTAAAAGCAGTCGAGAAAATCTGTCAGCAGGGCAGTTTCCAGTATGAGAATTTCTTCAACTATGTCACCAGTATCCTTTTCTGGCTCAATGGCATAATGAACACAGGACCAGACAAGACCAAAGTCCAACCCCCAGGATATTTATGACCTAGGAATAAGTATGATGTGGCCTGGACTTAGATGCGTATTATTAATGATTTACATGGCCAACTGAAGAACTGAGGAATCAAAACAGACCCAGTTTTTAATCTCTCTTTAGAAATTGCCACGTTCCCCTGATTATATTTCACCCCAAAATAGCATGACACAAGAAATACTAAGAGGCTAATAAAAAATAAAATATGATTGAAAAGTGATGAATTAATTAAAATTATTTTTGTATTAATTATTAAATCTATTAGTTTAATTACATTTTTGTTGATTATTAAATCTTGAACTAAAAAGAGACATTAGCATCTTTAGCTCTTGGTTTCATCTTTAAATTTTATAAAATTGCACATAATGTAACAGAACAAATCTTACTGGAAGTCTCTGTCTTTGTATCTGATGTTGAAGTTCCTCCAAACTGCTGACATTGTTGACCTACTTTGAGGTCAATGAGAGACTGAACTGTAGTAAAAGCTATTTAAAGAGTATACAGTCTCAGGTAGTATCAGGCCAGACATTGGTACTAATAGATATCAATGGGCCCCTGGTTTCTAGTCTTATAATTCAACAGTGATTTTGTCTGTGATGTTAGTTTCCATCAACTCATGACTTGTTTACAGATATTGACATGCTGGAGGAGTTTGCCTACCTGCGTACTCCAGAAGGTGGCAGGATTCAGCTGGAGTTGCTGCCCAATCAGGGAATGCTGATCAAGTAAGTGCCCCAGAGAAACAGTCCAGTTTGGCATCATGACTCTGCACACTCCCTTTTTTGATGTTTTTTTTAAGAAAAGAGTTTTTTTCTTGATAATTTCAGTGGACATGGCCTGTGGGGGAATTTTAACAAATTTAACTAGAGTGATGGGGTTTGTCTGTTTTTTTAAAAAAAAAAGTAAAATAGATCTGTTGTCTCAAACTCCTTTATTCATTGCTGTAGACGTTAAGACACTTGATAGTGACTGACTGAGAGATGTTGAATGTTGCTCTCCCTCAGGAACGCTAATCCTGCCCTGGGGGTGGAGTTAAACACCCTACTACTACAAGGGGTGCAGTCGATGGACAGGTACCCCAGGCCCCTCCTCCCACAGTCCCCCATTCCTCCCCGACTTCAGTCACCCGTCCTTCATTCCCAACGTCCAAGCTTGTCATCTCCCCACTTTTGATTTGGGCCTGTCATTTTACATCCAGAGTTAGATGTTGTTTGATTTCCTGTTGTTGCTTTGACTGATCACTCGTCTCTTTGTGGTTCATCACTGCCGTTGTTGTTATTTGAAATTGTCCGTGCTGCTGCCGTTTACTTTTTTGATTTTCACAACATCTAATGTCATTTCATTTGTGGAATGTTTTTATGTGGTTTTAAAATTTTTTTTTTTTACAGTCTTTTAATTTTTTCTTGTAAATTCCCAATTTGCTGGTTGAAATAGATGTGACATTCTGTTTCCATGACTGTGTCTTTACCACATAAGTCGTTGAACTGTTGTTTGTTGGTTTTAATTTCCGTCTCTGATTGAACTCTTACAGACACCACACAGTGACTCGTGGAATCACCAAAGGGGTGAAAGAGGATTTCCGTCTAGCCATGGAGAGGCAGGTGTCACGATGTGGAGAGAATCTACTGAGCGTGCTTCACCGTTTCTGCATCAACGAGAAAATCATCATCATCCAGTCTCTTCCGTGACACCTGGTTTGTAACTGTTGAACCAGTCAGTTCTTCATATTCCAGACAGTTTCAACACAGCTGGACTGATATTAATGAGCTGTCCATCATACTGTCTTTAGATAAAGAGTGAATTCTCTCAGTTGTTTACAGTGATTGTGCATTACTCCTTTTTTTACTCATGTTACGTGAACTAAACCACACTGGGTTTGTGGTTTTACGATATGTTGATAATCAGGGGAAAAAAACAACAACGTTCTTTTCATATGTTTTGCTAAAGGTTGTTTCTCTTGCATAACTAATTGTCCTGTTAGTTCATCTGAATGTTGTAATTAAATATTTTTTAATGTAAGTTCAATGATTTTTTTAGATCTTCTTTTCAAAAGCACTGTATATTACTGTAGCTTTTTCTTCAATATTTAACATTAGCCGTTACTGGAAGTTAACCACTGCACCCAAAAAACATAGATAGATTCTTTAAAATATATATTTATTTTAAAGCTTACACATAATACGTTTTGGTGGATCACATAAAATGATGTGGCGGGCCATATTAGACCCACAGGCCTTGAGTTTGGTGTAGTGGTTTTTAACATACTCTTTTGAGAAAGGGTGCTCATTATTCTTTAGGTCAATGTTTTTACCTGGTTTATCTCTTTGCATTTCTTCGTCTTCTTCTGAGGATGACCTTACAAACCCTCTATTGCAGGTAATACAAATAGGTGAAGAGGACCATGGCAGACCTTGGTTGACAGCGCTCAAATGGGGATGATAATTAGGCTGCAGTATAATGTGTGGGTGGCTGGACAACTACAGCCCATAATGACAGCAATCACTTTTGACTAAGTGAACAAGAGAGCACAGATACAGAGCATCAGCTCGTCTCCACAGAGTTGATTAGGTTCTCAGTGATTCTCTTCTCGGGCAGATGTTTTTTTTTTTTTCTGATGCTGAGAGGTAGTTGTGTAAACAGTCCATAATGTGGTGGCTGTAAGACACAGATGTAATAAAGTCAGCGTCATACAGGTCATTAAATTAAAGCTTTGTGTTGTGGTCCACATGGCAGCCACTAGAACACAACAACACAGGGACGTCTGGAATGAGTTCGGCATTTGAAACTGCATTTCCATTGTTCAGCGGGTGTGTAGAGTAATAATCTAAATGGGCAACTCAACAATTAAGATTCCTGTGTGACAGCTCTTTTTGTCCCAAATATAATGATAATACAAAGACGTATGAAGAGTGCAAGTCTAAAATAAGTTGTAACTGTGGTAAACACTAATTAGTTCAGGGCATTGTTCCAGTTCATTCCCATATGACAGAGGACATGACAGTGGGTGTGAGCTAAAAAAATAAAAAAAAGATGTTACAAAAACAAATCTCACCCACGAGCAGGTGCCGTGGCCGTTGCTGGTCAGATTCAGTAATGTGGTGGTTTGAAGTGAATGTTAATTGTTGTTTGGTCCAGTTTGTCCTTTTATCTACACTGACATTTAGGAGTGAACCATTGAGTTTTAATTTGAGATCTGAAAGATTGTGAAAGCCAGACACAGTCGTCAAGAAGCCAGCTAGTAAAATTCACTGAGAGTCATGCAGTGTTTGAGGTTTTGAGTAATGTATTAATACTTCAGCTTTTTAAAGAAACAACAAAACAAAACCTTTTTGTTTTTTTTGTTTTTTTACATGCAAAAAAAAAAACCAAACAAGACAACGATTCCTGCATCTAGACAATGATCCATTCCATCACATCTCTCTACCTAAAAATTGCACGACCACTCCATAGCCACGTGTGGTTCTGGAGCCACAGGTTGCAGACCCCTGATCGAAGCCATTGCCCCACTGTAGTCTGCTTGTTTTTTTGTGGAAGGAAACCAGGGAACCCAGAGGAAACCCACATTGAAACCACTCTTCCACCATGGGGCCTTTAAGGTAAACAGAGAGGGTAAATAATTCCTTCTTCCACTAACTTGGTTTTCTGTGGCCAGATGTCAAATTTATCAGCTCTTCTCTGCTCCATTAGACCACAGAGCTTTAACAAAAGATCAGGCTCCATTAACTAATCACTTATCGTCATTATCTGAAGCGTCAGAGTGTGAACGTTTCTCAGGCTCCCTGTCCTACAACCTATCCTGTCCAAAAACAAGGATGCTAATATGGTTCTTTAAACTCACAAACATATTTTCTACATTGATATATAGTAGTGATATGTCTGTCTGATTAGAAAATAAAACAGTGAGCGACCACTTTTTATAGCACTGTACACCCTGTACCAAAATGTTAAAATTATGAAAAAAGGACATTTCATTTGAAATCTTTAAAAAAAAGTAATTTTTAATGATTATATTTTTCTAAAATATAACTGAATATATATTAATATTACATTTTTAACTCACAACTTATATTTACAAGTCCTTACATTTACCTAACCTCCATACACACACAAACCGCAACTTGTATATAAGCGTCAACACTGAGGTCAGACTGGAAGGAAATGACTATTATCTAAATCAGTTTACTTCACTAATGCCTTAAATCCATGTGTATCCTGGACGACTCAGCTGTTTGCTGTTGACAGCTGTAAACACTGGCCTCAGGGCGGAACATGACTTAGAGTCTTTGTGATGGGATTTGAGACGCTTTATTGTGCCTCCGAGGCTTAACCAGGAACCTGCGTATGTACAGAAAGGTGAACTGCCATTAAGCCAAACAGACCAATGTCGACACCTGCTCTTCCACCTCGGCCTTATGATTCAACCGGCAATTGGAGAATAATTGGACAGAATTGTATGTGCTGGCGTAAATGTTTTGAATGTGGCATCAAATCCTGGTTTATTGTTGTTGTACTCAAGTAAAGTGCAGTACTGGTATTTTTTCACTATTGAAAAAATTATCTTTTTTAAAAAATATTTTCAAGTCTATTTTACATCTAATTAGTGTTGATACAAACTTATGTTTGTTTGTTCTTTTTAGTAATTGGTAAAAGTTTATACACATACGGAATAAATGGAGGAAGTTTGTTTGAACCTGAAACACTATACAAAGTGAATTGTACCATTTGTTACATGCATTATATTGACAATGCTTTATTTTCTTTTATCATATCTTTGAGACAATAAGTCTGTTGTTTATCTCATTAGGCTCTAATACACTGTCCATGTTATTTATTGTATGTCCGATGTCCATTCCACTTATTGCAAATAATTAAACTCACAAAAATGCAGGCCGGGAAATCTTTATGGCGTCCTCCTGTGTCAAGGAGCTGAGACCAGAGTACAAGCTAATTATTGACTGTAGATCCTCAGCAACTGAGGGCCATTATAGTGTGTTTGTGTAAGTGTGCGCTTCAAACTCGGGTCCTAATGAGGTGGTTGTCATCATCATCACTACATGGTAATGTTTAAAAGAATCAGAGTTCTAGAATAGTTAAGGCTGGTTGAAGCTGAGGTTAAGAAATGGACGTCCAAGATAAGTTGCTGGACCTGATTGGCTATGCTAACAGGTGTAGCCTATGTTTCCTTTATGTGATGAACACTGTAGAATGGGTAAAACAGGGCTTTACAGATGAGCCTGTGTGTAAGTGAGTCAGCTGCCAAACTGTATGTTAGAACGTAGTGTGATGGGAGGGGCTGTGAGAGCACAAATACAGAGGGAGAGATAAGGAGCAAACAGCAGGTTGTCAGATGGACAGTCACACCTTCAGTGTTCTTCTCTGCTGGCTGTCAGATCTCCCCCTCTCAGCAGCTCCATCATGGACCTTTTGTCGACCACAGGAGGATCTGTGTCACCTGACAGAGCTGCTGCTGTGACTGACTACAGTCACCCTCTTTGAATGAAGCTAGAAAACAAGGTGGACTCATTCAGTATGCTGAACAACTCATCCTCATCTGCACTTAAGCACCTGTTAGTGTGCACCTTACTGTTGTGTGGTGGCAACAAGGCAGCCTGTTCTCTCCGGGAGGGCAAAAAGATTTGGCAGCAACCCAAACTGGACCCTGTTGAAGCCCAGTCATTTCTCTATGACACTTTCCCTTCAGGATTCCTCTGGGGTACAGGAACTTCTGCTTTTCAGACAGAAGGATTCTGGGACCAGGAAGGGAAGGGAAGCTCCGTATGGGACCATTTCACCAGCTCCTCTGTCTGGGGTAGTTTTGAAGCTGAGGCAATCAGTTTGGCAAGTGACAGCTACACTCGCTGGGAGGAGGATGTCAAAGCTCTGGAGCTGCTTGGTGTAAAATCCTACTCCTTTTCTCTGTCCTGGCCCAGGCTGTTCCCCGATGGGAATGCCAGGAGTCCGCCCAACACGGCAGCAGTGGAGCATTACAGCCGCCTCATAGAAAGGCTACTGGAAAAGAAAATTGAGCCCATTGTCACTCTGTATCACTGGGACCTGCCACAGGTCCTGCAGGAGCAGTACGGAGGATGGAGAAATGACACTCTGGTGGAACTCTTTCAGGAGTATGCCGCCTTTTGTTTCGACACATTTGGGACTCACGTGAAGTACTGGCTTACGATACATAATCCTTACGTGGTGGCCGTGCATGGATATGGGACTGGCATGCACGCTCCTGGAGAGACGGGGGGTCCTGCTGGTTCTCTTACCGTGGCCCACAACCTGATAAGGGTGAGTTACATGAGTGGAAACACTAAGAACTGGAGCTTCAACTTAACTCCTAATGTATGTCGTCAGTCAACTGTGGACTTTGGACAACTTTTACTAGTGTGATGATTATGGCCAAAGTATAGTTGTATTATATAGGTTATGTTGTTGTCAAGTTGTAAGGCTGTAAATCAGACACCAGCTGCACGATTTCTGTAAAATTGTCTTGCAGTATACTTATAAAGGTAGTATTAGTAAACAAGATTTTTTTCACTGCTTAAAGTTAAATGCTGTATATATCCCAATCTCTTCACAGCACGTAATACAGTACATTCAGACATTTAGACATGTAATTATCCACCAAATATAAAAAAGGAACCCAAGAAGAGGCATGTCTGATTAACTTGGCCTCAGGGAGAACACGATCGGCTGGATGACAATAGTGCAGAGTTATGCAGTTCTGTGCAGCTGTACATCTCCAACAATAATGTATAGACTTTAAATTATGCTCTATTGTAAAACATAAATACAACCATTGTGTAAGCTCACTACCTACATTTATACTTAAAATTATGTTAAAATAGGTTTGCAGAGTTGTTTTGAAAAAAAGTACAAAAAAAGGTTAAATACAGTCTAAATTCTGCTTTTAATTATTACTTCTTCTTTTTTGAGTTCCATATGCAGTGTGGCACCTTTTGACTAATATTACTGCCACCTACTGGATCTATTTTGCACTGGTAAAAATATGAAGAAAATCTCAAAAATCTCAAAAAGGTCTCAATCAGTTTTAAAAGACAAAAAAAAACAAACAACAAACAAACAAAAAACAATTGCAAAACCAAATAATATATTCCTTTGCACTTTTATGTAGGTCATACCTTAAAGTAAATAAGCGTATGTTTGAGGTACAGCTAAACAGGCGCAGCCTTAATCGGGTTGAAGTTTTTTTTTCTTAAAGCAGCTGATCACATTTTGTTGTGATGTAACACCCAAAGAAGCATTCAGTACAAAGTCCCCCACATCAGCTCTTTTTTGCTGGAGGTGCAGCAGTGTATGACAGGAAGTCATAAGGTTATGCTTCAATAATAATCACTCACGTTTATGGAATTTTTAAGATACACCTGAGAGCTGTGTGAAGTAAAGTAGTAGTTCAAGGTTATAAATGAATCTGTAATGTCTATGATTGTGTTGTCCACCACTGAACATCCCACTGTTACAACCTCTTCTGTGATTTCCAGGCACACGCCAAAGCTTGGCACACCTACGACACACACTTCCGCCCAAATCAGAAGGGTAAAATATCCATTGTTTTGGGATCACACTGGATAGAGCCACAAGGAGGCCAAGCCACCCAGGACAATGTTGAGTCTTGTCAACAGTCAATAGAGGCGGTGCTCGGCTGGTTTGCCAACCCCATCTTCGGAGATGGGGACTATCCAGTCTCTCTCAGAAATAGGCACGGGGGCATCATGCCTACATTCACTCCAGAGGAAAAGCTGTCAGTTCAGAAAACGGCTGACTATTTCGCTCTGTCTTTCGGGCCTAACAACCTCCGCCTGGGACAGAAGCTGGTCCGGTTCAATCAGACTGTGGCGCTGGATCTGAGGCGTGTTTTAAAATGGATAAAGCTGGAATATGGAGACCCAAGAGTTCTGGTTGCTGAGGCAGGCTGGTTTTCTGAAGCAAGCGTAGAAAGGGAAGACACAGTGGCCATATATTTGATGAAGAAGTTTGTTAACCAGGTCTTGCAAGGTAAGCACAAAGAAAACCTCAAAGATCAAGTAAGTTAAAAAAAATATGGTGCATTTATCGTTCTGTTGTTACTGTCCAATCCTCTGTCCTCTGTCAAAGCTATTAGGACAGATGGTGTGCAGGTGTTTGGCTACTTTGCCTGGTCGTTGGTGGATGGATTTGAATGGAATTATGGCTTCACTGTAAGGCGAGGACTGTTCCACATCGACTTCACCCAAAAAAACCGAACCAGGACCCCCAAGACCTCCGCTCAATACTACCAGCATCTGGTGGCTGATAATGGTTTTCTTAGAGATGAAACCCTCAGAGAAACTGACGGTGTTTTTCCTTGTGACTTTCACTGGGGGATCGCTGACTCGACGCTACAGGTAGGAAGAAAAGATGCTGACTTTGCTGAAGAAAATGTCAAATTCCTGCATATTCACTGATTTTGATTCTCTGCTCTCCTCTTGTAGGTCCACTTCTATCCTTTCTCGCCACAGTTTACAGACCCACATCTGTACAGCTGGAATGTGACGGGGGACAAATTGTTGCGTCCCGTCCAGGGTGTGTCGATGCCCACACGATCACCCCAGTGCACTGACTATTTAGCCATCCGTGATCACCTTCGCTTGTTTGCATCTACTGGAGCATCTCACTACTCCTTTGCACTCAACTGGTCTTTGATTTTGCCCCACGGTGACCTCTCTAATGTCAACAACGAAGCCCTTAGGTAACATGACATGCACACACAAAATACTGTGATGCAATCATTTTCTTCCAAGCCAGATACCTTATCAGAACTCATTTTTAATTCCATGCAGGTACTACCGCTGTGTCCTGACTGAGATCAAAAAGCTGAACCTGGAGTCTGTGGTAATCCTTTATTATCCCACCCAAAGAGCTCCGAATCTGGGGTTGCCAGGTCCAATACATGCCATCGGCGGTTGGCTCAACCACAGCACAGCTGAAGCTTTTCAGGAATATGCGGCACTATGCTTCCAGCAGCTCGGATCCTGGGTTCGCTACTGGATTACCATCAATGAGCCGAACAGACTCTTAGATATTTATGCCAATGGTGGAGAGAAGCGTCGGGCAGCTCACAGTCTCCTTCTGGCTCATGCAAAAGCCTGGAGGTTGTACGAGAGGGAGTACTACAGTCAACAGAAAGCACTTGTATCACTCGCACTGCATGCTGACTGGACTGAACCTGCTATCCCATCCCTGAAATCACACAGTGCAGCAGCACACAGATTCCTATTGTTTGAACTGGGTCGTTTCCTCGACCCGTTACTGGGGACAAAATATGAGGGAACGCATGGAAGAAGAAGATACTCACAAGAACTGAAGGCAAACCTGGAGAACATAGACCTTTCTGGATCTCCTTTCCTGAGCTTAACTGCCAATGAGAAGGAGGAGTTGAAGGGAGCTTTAAGTTTTATCGCCCTGAACCATTTTACCACCCGTTTGGTGTCTCCCTATCCTACAACACAGGCCAGTTTTCAAAGGAAACAGCCTCCTGATCACGGTTGTCTGACTCTTTCTGATCCCACCTGGCCCTCATCTGGTCTGGGGCAGGCGATAGTACCCCAGGGTCTGAGGAAACTCCTGAAGTGGGTGAGCCAGAGATATGGAAAGGCTTTACCCATCATTGTGACAGCCATTGGAATTGATGACCAGGCTCCCGTTGAGGACAAACTCAGACAACACTACCTCCACAGTTACCTGCAAGAGGCCCTCAAAGGTGCGGCACGCAGTGAATTTCCATCATGTACTAATGTCTGGTGTTGTTTTCCAAATGTGCAATGAAATCACATTTGAGTTGGATTAAAACGGCCATCTGCTGTTTTGTTGTTGTCACAAGATACATCTGTTCAGGACTGGCAACAAAGTTTTTACAACCACGTTGCTTCCTGTGATACATATCATAAAAGTGAAGGGAGGCCGGAGAAACAGTGCACTTATCAGGGTCATGTTCATACTTTGCCCTTTATGGCCGACATTTGCACATGTGATCATGATGTTGTTTCCTAGCTACTTGGTTGTTATGCCAGATTTTTAAGGTGCAATATTAGTAATAGTACATAATATTTGTTTAAGGTGAGTGGAAGTATATGATGGTGTTTTTTGACACGAAGTAGCTGTTATATTTAGCTGACCTGTAATATTGTCACAGCAACCAGCCACAGGTCCAGCCCTGTAGTTGTTGGAAGAGTTTTGGCTGAAGGAGGGGTTGATTTACAGTATGTATAAAAAGTAATGTTGTATTTCAACATTCAACTCAAAGACCTGATTTTCATCCATTTTATTATAGGCAATAGTCTGTTGTATGAAACTTTTAGGACTGTAGTTCCACTACGGAATTTGACAAAGTACAGCTCCCAAGTTAAAAGGGACAGCGACACTATGTTGTGTTGCTGTTTAAGATCAAGGTGAAATAAAAAAAATCACAGCCCTGTTGCTACAGTATCTGACAGTCATTGATAAGTCAATATTTGCTGACAGTGCAGAATATACTTCTGTCTACTAAAAATAGGGGCAGCACATTTGGTCCATTCAGAAACATTGGATTAAACTGTAGATATTGTAGACCCCAGATTATGGCATTTTTATACATTTATAGCACCACCTACAGGGGAAAGAGAAGCTAGCATTCCAACATTTTGTCCATTTGTAAACAAATGTGTGAGTGTTCTCTGTTGACAGTAGAGAAGCCGATGAGAGCATTTATTGATTCATTTTATCTTTTTTTTAAGCTCGTAGATTAGATGGAGTGAACTTGCAAGGCTTCTACATGTGGAAACTTCAGGATCGACATGACCCCAAGTTTGGACTCTTCACCTCCAGCCAACACCAGTCCAAGGCAAAAGCCTCTGTGGCTGCGTACAAAGAAATAATCCATCACAGAGGCTTTCCGCTGAATGGTACCAAACAGACGTGCAGGCTCAGTGAGCCGCACCAACAGTGTTCTGCGTGTGTGTGGATGCTCAGGAACAAGGCCATGCTGGTCTTTGGAGGCTGCCTCCTGATAGCTGCTGTCATGTTTGTGGCACTTCTCACGACTGTCATCTTTAACAAGATGGGGCGATCAAGAGGTGGAAGAAGGAGGATGAAGTGGAAGAGAAAGAGAAGAGAAGGAGTCCCTGTACGTTTATGGCCACGTATGGCCAAGTACTAACTGTAGAGGAGCTGGAGAAGTTCCTGAGTGAAAACCAATAATCGATAATTTATCAGTGCTTGTCTTGAAATTTTTCCCACAATGAATGTAAAATAGAAAATGTTTTTACTATTTAATCATTAGATCATGTTATTATTGTAAGTAAATGGTAAAAAATATTTATTTGGTCTCCTTCATCAGCTGTCTCCTGTCAAACCTGGGTGATATTAGATAAAAGACAGAGACAGATTGCCTGCTCAGCATAGGTATTCACTGTATATAGACAACCAACAATTCACTCTCATAACCACACACAAGGTAAATTACATTCTTCATTTACCTAAACCCCAATCTGGACACAAACAAAGTCCACAAAGTCAGTGGCTGGGAATTAAACAAAAATGTATTAAATACCACATGTTGTAATTTTACAAAATCTTTATTTTCCACTGAAGAGAAGGGGTGTAATTTATGTGCCATATTATGTCATTGTGAAGTGTTGTGAAAAGAATCAGTCGATAAATTATATACAATAAGTGCTATATACTATGTATGACGAATGTATGGGACAACAGTGCCATTTAGCGGCCGACAACTGGAACTGAGCAGAAAAAAATTGTAATAAGATTTCTTATTTCTTTAACGTGTCTCATCTGTTTTCCTAATATGATAGAGACTACAGGTCGTGTATCACACCAACGACTCCTTTACATTACAGCGGAAGAAAACGCTCTACAGTACTGTACTTCTTAGCGTTCATTAGTTGCATTACTGCCATCTATCGATCATATGGTCCTTTTCGCTGCGGCCATCGGCTTTCATAATCACTATTTTCTGTATATATTTTTCTAATTCTAATTCTAATTCATACGTATGTTTTACTTAAACGGCTCTAATTCTAATTCTAATTCATACGTATATTTTACTGTGTGCTCATTACTCACCGGCTCTTTCTGGAAGTCCCCCAGGTTTTCCCCAGAATTCTTACTTTCACTTTGCATCAAACCATCTTTAGTTTACCTGCAGTATTCCAGTATTCCTGATACATACGGTGTCTTCTTCTGTGTTTTTGTCAGTACTACAGTAGTTCCTAAATTCTAAATCGCAGCTATAGTATTAAATAAAGGGATGCACGTGTAGAGAATCCAATGATTATCCTCCTTCCGTTATTTATTTTTCCTGGATTCCATTCCATTTATTCTACATTCTATCTCTGCCCTCACGGCAGTAAGTATCCTGTTGCATCACAGCCAATTCATTGGTCATTTCTCCTAATTCTCGCAGATGTTATTGTGTGTTTTTTAAAAATGTACTTTATTATTATTTTCTTCTCCTTCTTACAGAAAATATACTAAGAAAAAAAGAAATAGGGAAATAGAGAATCCTTCATAGATTGTAGTGCACTGGGACCTTTTTTATTATCACTTGTTTCATGACTAACAACAGCAATATGTGATGTAAAACTGCACTAACAACACAGAAACAAGGCAAATGCTATTATTATTGCTATTTACCAGTTTGAATTGCAGAATTCATTTGAGATTGTTCTCCTTCATTCATCTTCAACTGTAGCTTTGAACATAGAACCTGACTGGAAAACATTTGAGTCTTTGTGATGTAGACGGTAAAGAGAAGGAGGAGCCAGCTATGCATTTATTCCACAATGAAATTTAGGGATAATGTCAACAATGGGATTGTTTGTCAATCAGGTAAAGTGTCAGAAATCGTTTAAAAAGTCATTTTTTAAAATTAATTTTGTTAATACACGGATATGTACTATGTATGGTATTTGGTTTGTAGCAGTATGTAATAATAATAATAATAATAATAATAACAACATTGTTATTATTATTAGTGATACGTGAGGGACCAATGAGAACGGGAGTTGAGGATGGCTTTATAGATCACATGACCTCCTCTCCTCCAGACTGCATGCAGTTTGGTATTAAAATGTTTTCAGTTGCACCAACCATTGTGTTTCACATTTGTCATGACAGACGAACGTTGAGCCGTTTTTAACACATCCACAATCTCATAGTGAAACACAGGAGTGACGGCACTGACGGCTCAGGACCTCACCGCTCCTGTTTTTGAGGTTGTTGTCCAAAAAGTGCAGAGCTCCGGTGGGTAGAGACGCCTGCTAGCCTTTTTCAGGTCGGACGGCGACGAGGCCGCAGCCGGGACACGGGAGACACGGGGGAACAACCATGGCTAACATCGCAGTTCAGAGGATAAAACGGGAATTTAAAGAGGTCCTCAAAAGTGAAGAGGTGAGTAACCTGCGGCTCTTTCGTCCTGTCTACAGCTCCAACAGATGAATGTGAGGCGTTGCTGCCTCAGCTGACAGCTCTGCTAATCACGAAGCTGCTGTTAGCATTTAGCTTCAGTCCACCCGGCTTTAGAAACCGCTACTACTGCAGTCTAAAAACGTGTCACTGATTCAAAGTAAGAGCCAGAAATGTAAATTAAACCAGAAAGAGGTTGGAATAATAGGGAAATTGCATTTAAGTTGACGCTGCTACGTTAACGTCATTGGCTAACTTGCCATGCCTTCTTCTTTGGTCACTGAGCTATTAGCTGCATTAGCATAATAGCAAGTTTCTCATTTTTCGTTTACAGTATTGAGGATGTTCTTTTTTATTTTACATCTTTCCTTCTCAGTGTGGACACCTACCAATCCCCACTGTTGCTTATAGATCTTTGTGCAACATGTTCAACTTTGTGTTATGTTGCATGGGGACACTCTTAAAAAGTTTGACAGTGTTGTTTGTAAGTCCTGTCTGCCGAAGTAACACAACCTTTACTCTCTCTTTACAGACGAGCAAAAACCAGATAAAGGTGGATCTGGTGGATGAGAACTTCACAGAACTTAAAGGGGAAATAGCAGGGCCACCTGATACGCCATATGAAGGTGAGCAGCACGTTTGGTTTAGACACAGGTTCTGTCTAACCTTTATGCATGGTTGCACAGTTCTAGAAGGTACCGATGTTTCAATGACAGCTTGACACCTGTTATTTCACACACAGTCGCACAGCTAAGGGCCCAAGCAGTAATAACAGAACAGCTCAAGGTTGTAAGTTTGAAGCTACTAAAACCATTCAGTTTATGGGAGCCTGTGCACAACACCAGGCATAAACAGACACACACACACAAACACACAGCCCTAAGTCATGGACAAATCTCACAGAGGACAGAGAAAGGTAGTTGAAGACAGAGGGATTTATAGTGCACTGAAACCATTAATGCACAAAACAAACTCTGCAAAGCAAAAAAAAAAAAAAAAAAATTACATATATATAATATATTATAATTACTACTCAGCCAATTGCAGTACTTCCTCATTGTACTGTAAAAGGAACACCACACACATTTCCTTAAGAATAAATACTATACTGTATATTAATCTGGATCAGGCTAGTGACAAAAGGAGTCCTCGGCACTTACAACATGCAGCTCCTGGGAACCATACTTTAAATCTATTTAAGGGACTGTTACCTAATGTAAAATTAAATTCAGTTTTTGTCTCATGCTAGTTCTGCAGCCCTTATAACAATGACTATAAAAGTTGGTCAGTGCAATCTGAACACGTTTATCATTAAAGTGATGGTATAAATGTCAACATTATTTGCTGGGTGTGTCCTTGCTATGGTGTCAACATCTGCAACAAGACAATCATTCTGTCAATGACACATCAGTGCCAAATCCAGACAAGTCCAGACAAGTCCAGAAATGACTAGTAGAGACAGGCACTAATGTGTGATTATTATAAAATAGTTCCAGTTCTACTGTAAGTGACACAGGATTCAAGTGTCCATATTTTGTTGATATAGATTAAATAAATATGTTGATCATGTGTCAAGAAAATCAATTGCTCTAGTCATTGATTCTGATTTTGAATCATCCAATTTAAATTGGTAAGAGCTTAAATAGTAACTCTGCTCCTCCTGATACCTCTCTCTTTTCCCCCAGGGGGTAGATATCAACTAGAAATTAAAATTCCAGAGACATATCCATTTAATCCACCCAAGGTAAGAGTTCATTACTATTGTTGGTAACTATTTTTCTCTGTGCATGATAGGATGTCATTTTCCATTAACTACTGCCTTTGTTCCTCTGTGAAATCCTTCAGGTGCGGTTTATCACAAAGATCTGGCATCCCAACATTAGCTCTGTTACAGGAGCAATATGTCTGGACATTCTCAAAGACCAGTGGTGAGTGCAGACATTCTTCACATTCTTATACCTCCGCCGTACTTCCATCTGGTCATGTGAGAAAAGGTTCTACATTCCAAAAGTATTGTTTTCATACTCTACATGTGACATGTTCATAAAGTATTTGCTGTCAGTGTACTTACACACAGATTTTTGCTTTCACTTGTTGTTTCTTTCTGCTGTGACACACTTTTCTTTGTGTGTCCTCCTCAGGGCAGCAGCTATGACTCTGAGGACAGTCCTCCTGTCACTACAAGCCTTGCTGGCAGCTGCAGAGCCAGATGACCCACAGGATGCAGTAGTAGCTAATCAGGTGGGTGTGCTTTTTTTTTTTGATGCCTAGAAAGATTTTTGGATGACTTGACATTATCACACAGCACACAAACGTTAATGTATTCATCCCACTGCAGAAACCGAAATAGATTAACTGGGGTTATAATGTTAGTAATAACTCCTATAATTATTTGTAGGATAACCTTTAAATACTGTACATAATTGCTAAGGTTAGGTGTGTTTTCACTCAATTTTTTTAAAGACAGAGTCCATTTAATCTCATTCTGCATGCATTGCTACTAAATAGTTTTGGTGGTGGTTGGCCACTGCATAAAAGCAAAGAGTTTTTTTTCTCTATTGCAGCATGAAAGACTTTTACACTGTTTCTTCTCTTAATGGTATCCCTACTGTTTTTCTTCACACCCAAATGTATTTGGGGTTTGAAACTGGTATGTCAGACAAAAAGACATTCCATTAAATCGTTGGAGACTAGAAGTATTGTTTCCATAAAACCAGCTGGATATTGAAGGCTAATCCCAAAGGACAGATACTTCATTTGATGTGATGTTGGACTTTATTCCCCCAAATGGTGTTAAGCACAACCACTAAATCACCCCACTTGGCCCACATTTATCTGCTAAATGCAATGCATTCCTCAGGTTGAACCATGAATATTTATATGATGATCACTGGAGCTCCGTTAAATATGTATGAACTCTTGAATCCGGCTTATTTTCATAGGTAAACCCCCGGGCCTCCCTCCCGTTAACTAAATATCACTACAGAGGTGTGACACACAGTGTCGGATAATGATGGGTCTATTAGGAAGATGAATCCTTGACATCACTAAAGTGTTATATGTGAACAAAGCTTTTGGATTAAAGCCCACAACGGGGTAATATTCAATCCAGTTTACCCCTTTATATTGTAACATCAGCCCCTCCTGTGTTGGTAGTTATTAGTCATTTATATTATATTTGTGGGTCATATTAGTCACACACAAACACATGAATCTTCTTTGAGGTTCAACAGCAGCTCTCTATCAGGGAGGTTCCATACCCTACCTTTAAACCAACACCATGTTGTTTTTCAGTCAATTTTATTAGAATTGTGTTAGTGAAAGAACCATCTACTTCAAAGAATATACCAAAAAAGGGTCTGTTGATAAATCCTGTTGGCTGAATACTTTTTTATTTCATTTTTTGTTCTATACAGTACAAGCAGAATCCAGACATGTTCAAACAGACGGCGAAGCTCTGGTCTCACGTCTATGCAGGAGCTCCTGTTTCCAGTCTGGAGTACACATTCAAAATAGACAAACTCTGTGCCATGGGATTTGAAAAAGTAAGAAGAATAGTTTTTTTTTTTCTATTTCTCTTTGATGCAGACTTCCACTGACTCCGACTGTCGTGTTGTTTTTCTCCCAGAATGCAGTAATAGTGGCATTGTCGTCGAAATCCTGGGATGTGGAGACGGCGACAGAGCTGCTGCTCAGTAACTGAATATCGGCACTTGTCTCCATCCTTATCTAGGTCCTCATTTCCCAACCTCACACACACTGTCCCCTCCAGCTGTCTGAAGGCATCTCACCCCTCTGTTCCACCTTCAGAGTGGACTCCTTACTTTCTCTCCACCTCTCCCTCTGTCTCTTCCAACTGTGTGGTAAACTCCCCATTCATCACATTACACACACACACACACGCACGCACGCACTCACTCCAGTCAGTATCTCTGGTCTCACTATGTTTATTCAACATTCCACTCAGTGCTTCAATCGAACACCCAGCCGCATTTTCTGCCCCACACTCATTTGAAGCAAATGCCAGATTTAAGACCTCCACTTCCACCACTTTATCAGGCCGTGTCCAAGAAGCAGCTGCCAGCAGCTTATCTTTGCCTATGCACTGCATTTTAACTTTACTTTGTGGGGGAAAAAACAGTTTTGTTTTTTTTTTGTTTTTTTTTGGAAGAGTCGTATAATTGCTGGAGGCTCTTTTGGACCTGATTGTTTGTTGTTTTCTAAAAGGGGCGTAAGCAGAGTCCGAGACTGTACTGTACTGACTTTTTTTTTTTTTTTAATGATTTCGGTACTAGTACTGGATAAGACTGCTCAACACACCACAGTACCAAGTAACAAATTTATACTATGAAGACATGGATTAGGATGAGGCATGTTCCCTGTTATGAAAAACAATCAAAATGTAACCGAGGTGCAGGTACGATCATCCTCATGCCATGTTTTTCTCCCGAACCTCAGCTGCCTGATAAACTCAAAGCTCCCACCCCTGATCCTACCCGTCTGGACCTCCCAGCACACACACACACACACACACACACCTGCTCTGCACATGGCTGGCTTCACCTGTCTCTTTGCCTTTAGTTTATTTTTTTTAAAAGAAAAGAAATAATTTGGATTTTGTCTCCTACAGGAATACATTTGAATTCTTGTTTTTAAACTAAGAGAGAGAGGGGAAATAAAACATAAACGCTCAACAGTAATCACAAGTCTGGATGAAAATAGCCAAACAAGTTTGAAAAGTATTGCATCACCTTAACTGCGACAACAGATAAACGATTCATCTGTAAATAAAGATATTAAAGTCTGTGTAAATTAATCCAAATTGCCTCGTGTTTGTGTCTTTGTGCAATGTTGGAATAATTACACTATTTCTATTACTATCAGAGCGAATACAAGAAAAGAAAAAAACCCCATCTAAAAGCCACAAGGCAATAATTTCACTTTCGTTGGCACATAATCTTAATTCCTGACAGATAATGGGATGTTAACGAACTGTTTGTTCACATAGAATCTTGTGTAGGATTTTATCTGCCTCGGCATAAAATAAAAAGTCAAAAGCATCTTATTTACACAACAAGCAGAAACTGAACCTGCAGGGAATTTCTGCTGTCAGTGAAAATGGAGCATGTACAGTAAACCGATTTAAATAAAGACTGTTCATATATAAAAGAACGGGAGCTGGGATTATGCATATCAGCACCTGAACTTTACAGATTTTTTTTTTTCAAACTTTTTTCCTAGTTGTGTAAGCACTTTTTTTATGTTTATAAGATGTTGGAAATTCAATGCAGTGGAAATTCAATGCAGTGGTCCAAACTATGGTCAATTTCCCACATTTGACCCTGAAAAAAGTGGGAATCCGGACAACCAGCATCGAATGGTTGTCCGGATTCCCACTTTTTGAGTAAAATGAAGAAAGATGTGACGCTCTTTCTTCATGACACATAACAGATGTCGGTTTAACTACAACAGAGTGAGGAATTCAAATACAAACATTTCAACAAGATATTGATGTCTAGTGAAAGAACTTCTGAAGCATCTGAGGACCCTAAAAGACTACAGTGAAATCTAAAGGTAATAAGTTTACAATGTTCTATTGTTGTCGTTAGTATAAAAAATAAAAACATCTCAAAATAGAGCAATTACTAAAACTACACTGTAAAAAATTGTAAAATGCTGTATTTTAGATTAACACTAATCCCTGGTGTATTTACTCCCTGTCTCTTAATGTCAGCTGTTGTTTTTTATTTTAAATCCATGTATGTATTTATTTTCCTTTCTCTCTCTCTCCAGACAAATGATACATCTCTGCATTTACCCATCTGGGAAACACTCCAGTGATTTACATCAGACACAAGAGCTGTGAGCTGCACTTTTCTAGTGTGGGTGGGACTGACGTAACACACTACAGTCCTGCTAGGTCTGGATTCGAACCAGCAGTCCTTCAATTAAAAGACCCATCCACCAACCAGTAAGCAACGTTTGCCTCTTTTATTCTATTCTGTTCTACTCTACATGCCTGTCACATTTTGGTGTCCATTGGAAAAATCACTCACTGTGTTTGTTTTTATTTTTCTCACTTTTTCGCACGGGTGGATGATGACACTGTCGATTTTCCAACATTTCAATTGCTTCTAAACTTTAGCTCTTGCCTAATGAGATTTATTGCACGTCCAAGGCTGATGGAATAGTTGTTGCGAAACAGCATTCTCACAGCGTGACCTTGTGTAGAGATAAATAGGAAGTGCGAGGTAGCAGATGGTCACATGTTGTGTTTTGTCTAACCTCCCTTGAAAAAAAGAACAGCCATATCTGAGCAATAACGTTAAGCATTAACGCTGTCACAGAACAGGGCAGTTTTAAACCGCGGCTGCATTTATAAGATGATGGCGTCTATAACGACCGAGAGATAATCACTGTGCTGTTATTAAAATACACTCTGAATAATTTAACCGCCTGCATTATTACAGCATCGGTGCTTCTATACGACTAATAACACAATCGTGTTTCTCCCTTGTTCCAGCCGAGCTTTAATAAAGTGTTGTGTACGTCTGTGCACTTCAAGTAATGAGGTGTGGCGTTCAAAGACGTCTGTTTTATTAGGACACAACTAAATGGTCCTGAAGGATTTTTTGTGTCTTTGTTGAGCACCTAAGGCTCTCAGCATTTCTTTTTCTAATATGTGTTGAACTTTACTTTTCCAAAGATAATAAACTACCATGAACTACAACTTGACAATAGCCCTAATTACAAAAGGGGGCGCTGTAGAAAAGGTATGGGAACCGCTGCACTACCTTTTGTTTGTATTTTTTTTTTTTCATTTGTTCAACTCCATAGGTGACTCCTTGTTTATAACCAAACTTGCTGTAAATACTAGTCACAACTTGAATATGTGTCTCATAGAGCTGAAAGGTTAATAATAATTATAATTATAATAATAATAATAATAATAATAATAATAATAATTTGTACTCTACATTTCCGCCTTGTGGTTGTTTTGGAGGACAGGCTATGAGCTCAGACCACCTGGCAGCAGGTGTGACTGACAGCTGAATATCTCAGTGTGTGGTGGGGCGGTGATTAGTGGGCATCCTGTTACTCTCCGTCTGCCGCGGCTGCCATGTGATATGTGGGGTTTTAATTCCATGTCTCAGTCAGCAGACAAGCTTCATCCCCTGCCAAGCGGTAAGAGCCGGCCTGACCACACTTATAGGTCCAGATGAGAGGTAGCGGTGCTACTGTATCTGCTGCTGAGTTCAACCAGGGTTGAACGAGCATCATGTTGATGTGTTAGGGGATGACATCCAGGATCGTCGGCTTTCTGTTTCCCTCTCCTCCTGTCTTTTTAAAAAAACAATTTTTTTTTTCAATGTTTTCAGAAATTATCAAAATGATTCCAGTCATCTGTTTGGCCGTGCTGCTGCCTGAAGGTAAGTCAGAGTCATCGTCTCACTGAGACAAATATGAACACAATTATTTCAATAGTGTGGATTTTGACACTTTTGACACTTTTAACAGACACATACTAACACTGAGTTTAAGTTCAAGTCTTTAAAGCAGCTCTAATCATCTGATAATTGTAAGTTGTGAGTTAATAAGTTACTCATTACATTCAACACATTTAAAATAGAAACCAGAAAGGATTAAAATAACTTAAAAAAAGTCACTATTTGCTTCATATTTTTGTTGTTTTTGAAATCATAAGTAATACAAATGTTAGTATTGTTCAACAGTCTCAGTCTAATTTTTTTCGGTTTCTAACTGGTGTAAATTCTATGTTTGTTTCTTGAAAAGAACACTTTTTTCCTTGTCTATTTTCTCCTCTACTTCTACAGTCAGACTTCTGTTCCACTGACTGTCAGACTGACTAAATACACTTTTTTTTCCTCTACTTCTACAGTCAGACTTCTGTTCTACTGACTTTTTCTTGATTCGACTAATTAATGACAGTTTTTCTCCTTCCAGTGGTTCACTCAGCCGAGGGCCACTACGCCCAGAAGCTTCTGAACGACTTGATGGAAAACTACTCCAGTGCTCTGCGGCCTGTGGAGGACACGGACCGAGCCTTGAACGTCACCTTACAGATCACACTCTCTCAGATTAAAGACATGGTGAGTTAGAAATCGAGGCACAGGAAAGTCATTTTTTGCTGAAACTTCTCCTGCTCTACCCCCCAAAAAGTACAAGTCTACTACTAAGTTATGTTTTTATAATTGTAAGATCATAACAGTTAAAATGTAAATTGATTTTAATTATACCAGAATACGTGTGTGTGTGTATGTGTGTGTAGAGGTATGACTTTGAAGAAGACACTGTAATGACAGTAAAGTGTTAGTATGGCTTTTTGAATGTATGAATTTATGATTTTTGAGTTCTTTTTTTTATTTATGAAAATTTACAACTGTTCAAATTTAACAGCTGCTCTAATTTTTTTGTTTATGGTACAAAAACAATGAGATTACAATTAGAATCTTTTTGAAACTACTAAATATGACAAACTACTGCTGTAGTACTAATTTGTGTTTTTTTTTAGTATTGATTAGTCAGAAATAAACAACAACTTTCCGTCGTACATTGCAGTTTATTTGTTGATTTATGCTATGGTTGATTTGTGTGTATGTTCCTGGTATAGCTATACTTGTGGGGACATTTGTGTTGTTGGAAAAATGCCATTGTCGTAGGGACATTCTGCAGGTCCCACAGAGTAAGAGGATATTTTTCCAAGGATTAGAATGATGGTTAAATTAAGATTAAAGTTAAATTAAGATTAATAATGTATTTGTTATAGTCGAGGTTAGAGTAATGGAAATGCTTTATGATTATGTGAACACACACAAACCGTGTGTTTGTGTGAGTGAATGCGTGTGTGTTGCGGTGTCCCGTTACTCCAAGTGGTTATGCTTTCTTTGGTTCGGCAACGACACTAAAACCTCATCAGCCAATCAGCTCCATCTGCCAGTGGCGCCGTTAATCCATCTGATATTGACGGACAGGTCTGGATTACAGCCGTTCCAATCGTCTGTGATGCGCGACGCTGACAGAGATGCTGAATGAGCGACTGGGAAATTAGAACGATAATGTTTCCTCAATTCCTACAAGCACGAGTACATTTGTAAAAAAAAAAAAAGTGTTGTTTATGACTGTGACTCTGCGCAGGACGAGAGGAACCAGGTGCTGATCGCCTACCTGTGGATCAGGCAGACGTGGCACGACGCTTACCTGAGGTGGAACAAAGAGGACTACGATGGTCTGGACGTCATCCACATCCCCAGCAGCCTGGTGTGGAGGCCTGACCTCGTCCTCTATAACAAGTACGACCGTACGTCGCTCACACATTTACACATATACTGTACACACTTTTCTTCACTTCTATTACAGTTGAGGGAAAAAAAGAACCTTTTAATATCTCAGTATTGGATTAAAGACAGATCCACAAATGTTCCTTCGGGAGGTTCCACTCTCACAGATTTACATTTCAGTCAGAGAGGCTTCAATTATAACGGCACTCATTTTGAGACAGTTCTAATCATAGCCTGAGGTAATAATAACAGCTGAATGTTATTGGTCCATCTTTATTTCTCTTCTTACTAAAGGTTGTGATGAAAGCTTTTCACAGCAGACATGTACATGTACAGCAAAAAATGTACAGCAAAAAATGCCATTACACTCTACGTGTTTTGTATTTTGTACATGGTTAAATATTGTGATATACTGTAGACTCTGTATGCTGTACTTACTGACCACTTTATTAGCTCTGTCTTCTTCCTTCTTTTACAATGACATCTGCCCTAATTCTTTAATCCATCCAATGATAGTCTGCTGTCCGAAGATACTGTTCCCTTATTTTTAATATCATATATGGAAACCTATGATTATGGTCACCTCTACCTACTTCCTGTACTTATACGTTCTATTGCTCCTTCTTCCTTCAGAGCTGATGATGATTTCTCTGGGCCGATGGACACCAATGTGAGACTGCGCTACAACGGGGAGATAACCTGGGATGCTCCTGCTATAACTAAGAGCTCCTGTGTGGTGGACGTCTCCTACTTCCCCTTTGACAGTCAAGAGTGTAACCTGACCTTTGGCTCCTGGACCTACAATGGTAACCAGGTATGAATAAATACCAAGACTTTGCTGTTGGATAAAGTGAACTTTATAATAATGTAAATGTGTCACATGGGTGTGCTTTGTGCAAAAGGATCCCCCAAATAGAGTTTGCCTGTTCTCCCTGAATGGGTTTCCTCCAGGTACTCCAGGCTCCTCCCACAGTACAAAAAACTGACTGACTGTGCACTTCCTTCTCTCACCTCTAGGTGGACATCATTATGGCCATGGACAGTGGAGACCTGTCAGACTTTGTAGAAAATGTGGAGTGGGAGTGCCATGGGATGCCGGCCACCAAGAACGTTATCATGTACGGCTGTTGCTCCGACCCATATCCAGACATCACGTATACTGTGCTCCTGCAGCGGCGCTCCTCCTTCTACATCTTTAACCTCCTCCTTCCCTGCTTCCTCATCTCCTTCCTGGCCCCACTGGGGTTCTACCTGCCCGCAGACTCTGGGGAGAAGGTTTCCCTCGGTGTGACGGTTCTCCTGGCTCTCACCGTGTTCCAGCTGATGGTGGCTGAGAGCATGCCTCCATCGGAGAGTGTGCCTCTGATAGGTGAGAATGTGCTGTTTCCTCTTTCTTTTTCTTTAACTCACAGTGTCTTTAGAACACTAAAGTTTCACGATGCAACTTTAAATCTGTATAAATGCTCTGACAATCACATTGAATCAGGAGGAGCTTTGTTATTGGATTCAAACAGAGTACAGATGACATAATCTGATGATCCTCAGGCTCCAGATTATAGCTCTATTACAACAGGCAGGGTAATATTTGTTTGAATAAAACATTTTAAATCTATTCTGTGCCCCTCTCCCCCATTTTCCTTCCCTCTTTCCGTCCACATCATCTTCTCACGCTGATAGTGTTTGCGTTTACATGCCGTCTTAGTCATCTATTATATATGAGATTGTTTTTGTAGCTGTATTATTCATCCTCCCTGCTGACAGTTCCAAAAAAGCAATTTTCTAAAAAGCACCGGAGCCAGTGAATAATAAACATCTGGCAGTTCATAACATTGAACAGTATTTCTCTTTACTATATAACCTCAGGCCAACACTTGAGCAACAACTAAAAAAAAGTTTTTTCACTTCTTTAGGATAATCACTGAGAAATGGGAACATATTTACATATTCTTTTTGTCTGGTTTTTTAGGTCCAAATTTGTGTTTTTTTATGATTAGGTTCACTTTTAAATCTAGAGCTAACACATTATATATACCGTATGTGTATATATACATATATACAGTACATATATACACACATACACTAAACACTTTCTTGCCTGTTACTCAGGTAAATACTACATCGCCACTATGACCATGGTGACTGCGTCCACTGCTCTCACCATCTTCATCATGAACATTCACTTCTGTGGAGCGGAGGCCAAACCCGTTCCCCGCTGGGCCAAAGTCCTCATTATCGACTACATGTCCAAGATTTTCTTTGTATATGAGGTGGGGGAGAACTGTGCCTCTGCCTCCTCCACGTCTTCCTCCAACTCCCCACAGGACGACCTGCGTCCCCTGCACCTCAGCTCCCATGTTCATACGAATGGAAAACTCGGAGGCCATAGTCACCACGAGGACCGACACAGTCAGAAACATCCCAGACCCCAGACCCCAAAACCACAGCAACATCCCAGGGTAAAAGCCCAACATCACATCACCAGAGAGGAGAGGAGCTACACACCAGGAAATTACGAAGGAATAAACGGTAAAATCTCTACAGGTGACTGCTACAAAGAAGACCAGAAGGAGCCCTGCTGCCCAGAAGACAAAAAACCTCTGCCCTCTGTGACCTTTGGCCCCTGTATATTCTGTAGCTACAGCAGCAGCCTCCCGGGAGTGGACACAAAGCTGGTGCGTAATGTGGAATATATCGCAAATTGCTTTAGAGAGCAGAGAGCCACCTGCGCCAAAGGAGCAGAGTGGAAGAAGATCGCCAAAGTGATGGACAGGTTCTTCATGTGGATCTTCTTTGTCATGGTTTTCCTCATGAGCATCCTTGTCATTGGCAAAGCACCTTGAGTGTGCAGTGAAAACATGGGTTGTTGAAAGGAATCTTTCATTTTTAATACGTTATAGGAAAATACACATCATATTATATGACATAAATGTAACTGGAAGTTTGTGGCACAAACTTCACACAAGACACATTTTTAAACATAAAACAGGAGATGGAAGAGTCCGTCAAAGATGACGGATATGGCCTTAGGAAAGGTGATGGGTGTTATTGCAAGAATTTTTTAGATGAATCTGACAGGTGTGAACAAAACTTTTGAGATTTGAGGATGTAGTGAAGAAGGACAATATGATGTTTGATGGAGGCTAGGATAAAAAATAAGATAAAATAAAATTTTGCCTAATCTCATCTCCACAACTAATCTGATCTGATCTGATCTAATCTAGGCTTCCCCTGGGCTGACCACTGTAACTCTGAGCTCAAAGTGATCTTGAAGGCTGTAAGTGTTAAAAAAAGTTCTTGATTTTCAATACACAACTTCCAAAAATAAAATCATTCCTACCACATTTTAGTCCATCCTACAGTAGTAAATCCAGCTGTAACCCAGTGTTTAAAGTACGATATTACGATTTTCATTGGCACACATTTTCTCCCAAAAATTTTTTTCAAAACCAACTGTAAATGAAGGGGTGAAAAGGAAAATACAGGCAGAGGGCTGTGTCACTGCTGTCACCACCTTCAACCCATGTGGGTGCTGTTTAATGACAGGGGTGGTTGCTTTTTTGGTAGATTTATTTATTTATTTTAGAATTTCTGAATACCATACCTTTTTCTAAATTTTGTGTCCTTGACAGAGCATTTAAAGTATTTTTAGGACATCATCACAATCGTGCGACAACAAAGAAAATGCTCTAGATGCCAAGAACCTTTAAACAAATGAAAGCACAGAATCAGCAAAATATCAGTTTCCCCTTCAGCACACATTTTGACGTCACCTAGTGTACTGTACAGGTGATGCTGTCATCTTAAAATATGAGCGGCAGAAAAACACGCATATCTAGTTCACCACTGTGAAATCAGATGCCTCCGTTTGATACATGACATTGGTGCACTCCCCTCATCCGCAGAATCATTTTTCTGTTAAAAATCATCCTGTGAATAGTTAATGAGGCACCTTTGTTTGCAGCCCAGCAGAGGAGGATGTAAGGTAATATGGAGCATCAATTATGTAGCACCAAGTGCACATGCTGACACCCACCTTCTCTCAAAACCCCCTTTACCTTGAACTTGGAAATTAAGCGTGTGTGTTTGTTTGAGCGGAGACGAATGAATAACAATTGGATGGAGATAGATTTTCTTTCGTACTGCGGGAATTAATGCAATTTATGTTTCCTTTTTCTAGGTCTATGCTGAAGATTACTACCAAGAAATTAAAAAATTGGATAAAAACACTTTACGTTCTTATTTTAAACAGACTATACATGTGTTGTAGAACAGATTAATTTATTTTTAATGAAAATGTATTAATTAATACATACAGAGGATAAAAGGACAGATGTTACTAATAAGTCCTGTCATAACATTTATTTTCAAGGCTGAAACACAAAATATCTAAGTTAATCACGGACCTTCATTTTCATTTTTTTTTTTAAAGGAAAAGAACCTTTAAAAATATATATTATATTATACTGCATTTCAGTGTTATTTCTAAAAGAAACACAACCCAAATTTGTTCATAGCTATGTAACATACAAAGTCAAAAGTGTGTATTTCAAAGGTGGTGATGAATAATATGATTTTTTTTCTCTTCAAAATAACAGCGGCTGTCGCGCACTATTTTCTTTCGAAGTTTCTAAAGCAGTTAAAAGAACAGCTGCTGTGCTGTCTCTGATTCTTCACCGCAATACCTTACATTTACAGTAGAGGGCATTGATTTCCTAAACAGTTATTTGGAAATGCATGTTTTAATTTGCGTGGCAACAATGGTGCATAGTTTTGTAAAATTATGTCATTCACTAAATTTTTAATTGAGGCAACCCCCCATTCTCCCCTACCTTGTTTTTATATTAAGGGCCCTTTGTAATCGTATGGCAAAAGTTGGCGTCTTTCATAATTTGCAAGAATTCCACTTGAAGTTTGAGACCATGATGAAAGAGTCGGGGCAGTGGAATACATTTCTTTTCATCCTACTTTTCAAAGGGATTTTCAGAACAAAGATGCGTCAGATGCATGCGATTATTTTTTTTTTTGTGAGGTAGTCACCTCCAGGGTAGGCAATTAACTTTTTTTAAAAAGCTTTTTTTTTTTTTTTGCCTCTGCTCACTATGCCTGGGGGTATTTTTGAGTCAATCAGACATTTGCTTTGCCAGGACCTAGATAGCAAAATACAAAATCGTTTTTCACTCCTGGTTCTACCTATTCAACAGAAGGGCATTTAAAGTGGATTTCAGCAACATTTGCTCATATTTCAAGGACATTTTGCTCAAGGGCATCTCCTGCCTCATTCACTAGGCTGTGATCACTGCTGTAGGAAACTAAGATGCCAGTGGACGTTATTTAAACAGGGATTAGAGCTGGGACTGTTGTAAAGAATACGTCACCCACAGTTGACTTTAGTGGGTTTTTTTCCATGGCTACTACACAGTTTGTAAAGGAAAAGTATGCAAGTGGTATGCACTTAATGTTTACGGATGTAACCACCCTCCCCTCCTGCAGGGTGTGCTGTGAACACAGCAATAAAGTTGGCCCTGGCTGAAGAACTTAGTGCGGTGGTCCAATATTATTGATTTAATACTTGAACATGTTTTGACGCGATATCACAAAAACAAATGATATGTTTACATTGGGAGAACCTCACTCTTACTAGTATTACTAGTTACTAAGTATTACGATACCACTCTTGTCTGAAATGGATTTTATTGAGAGAGTAATAACTTCTAACGTGTTTGTAAAGTCTCTCAGTCATCCAGGTCATCTCCAAAAATTTACGTGAAGTGCAAGTGACGTTAATACGTCCCTTTCAACTGACGAAGCTGCGTGTTCTTCCTACCTATGCAGACTGCTAGTCGCGACCTCGAGGGACTACACAGGGATACTGCAGGCAAGTCATAAATTGTAGAAAATGTTTTCAATGTTTATATTGTATTTGGCACATGTTTAAACAAACAAAAACCCAAGTATTTGTTTATGAACATTTGTATTTTAATAGCCTTCAATAATTATTTATGCTCAATGTCTCCACATAAAAATAAAAACACAGACAGTAACATACTGTCTCCACATAAAAATAAAAACACAGAATGAAAACTGGTTTTTTTTTATATAAATGCAAAATTTCAAGATAATTTACTTGGCTAATTTTGTTTGACTTTCGAAAGCAACTAACGCTCTGTGAATCTTTATCTTTCCCACAGTGACTGAGAAAGGACATCCATCTTTAACGAGAATATTCCTCCATCCGTGAAAAACAGGAACTTAAGGTCGCAATAGGGTTGCCATAGCGATGGAGACACGCAGATCCAAAGTGCGCCCGTAGCTTAACACAACTTTTAAAAGTTTTAACAAATATTTTTTATAATTTAAATCTTCTCCGAATTATTTGGTTATCAAAGTAAACCTGTGTGAATTGACTGAACTCAGAAGTGCTGTTCCCTGCACTCTGTGGAGACGCCCATTCTGTGTAACGGAGCCTGATTTATGGTCTGGGAATTTATCAGCGTCCAGTCCACGAGTGAAGGAAAGTGTTAGCGTTACACGGCAGCAACAGTGAACACAACTGAACAGTGTGGCTCACAAGGTAAGATGTCTGTCAAAATAGTTGTTATTATTTAAACCAGTAAATAATGTTGGGAAATAATGACGACAACGTGTTAAGCTAACCCGAGAGACAGTAAATAGACACATTCTTCAGGCGTCAGATTTTTCATGCTAAGTTGTTTTTCATTACAATTTAGCAATTTTTTCTCCTGAAATTCTATTATTTTGGCAATTGTGGTCTATTCTTAGCCGAGTTTGTCTATTTCACAAAACATAAATTAAATTGTCAAATCTTTAAGAAACCAATGAGAATATAAAGGGCAAATGTATGTGTTTTAATTTGTATTTTGTCCTAGACCCTTGTTATTTCCATGACAAAAATAGTCACTATTTGGGTTAGCTGTATTCTGCAGTGATGTCATTGTTATTATCCCACTGAAGTTAAATGTTGGAATATGACTAAAAACTAGCAGAGTGAAGCTGAATTATTTATTCTGCCAAAAAACAAACAAACAAACAAACAAACAAAAAAAAAACATTGACATTAAAATGTATTTTTTAGGTGTCAAAGGGAAAACCCATCCTTGAGAACATGGTGAAGAAAAAAAACATCCAAGTTCGTACCAAACAACCTTCCACATGCAGGGCCACAACTCCTGTATCCCAGATTGCAGAGAGTGAAGCCCTGGATCCTTTGAAGGAGTCAACACACCATCGTGCTCCTGCTGCTCCTCTGGAGCTCCAAACCACTGATGAGATTCCACAGGGCTTTCCAGACAGAGTGTATCTTTTAGCAGCAGCCATCTTTCAGAACAACCACCTGCAGAAACCAGCTGCCCATCGTTTGGTGAATTACGGCAAACAGAGAGGACTTCCACTGCCTGAGGTCAAAGATGAGGAGATGAGACGCGCCGCTTACGAACTTGCCTTCAATACATTAAAATGTAAGTGACTGCTGACCTGAGGTTGTTTTCATTTATTCAGTTTAATTCAATTATTACTCTAATGCAGGGGTGCCCAAACTGTTCCACAAAGGGCCGTGTGGCTGCAGGTTTTTGTTCCAACCAAGCAGTAGCACACCTGAGTTAACAGATTTAATCAACTGGTCTCAGTCTTCAGACAGCTGATTGGTCAAACTATGTGCTCTTGGTTGGTTGGAACAAAAACCTGCAGCCACACGGCCCTTTGAGGAACAGTTTGGGCATGCCTGCTCTAATGCATTCTCCCTATTGGCTGTTAATCCTGGGTTTGAACACATAACCTTCCACACAAGTGTTTTCAGTTACTGTTTTATATCACCCTGGTCCAGAGATGAAGTACTGTTGTAAAATGAAGGACTAAAAAGGTTTACAACTCTTTTTCTTTAGTGTTTGAGGCTAGCAGTCGCCCAACTTCATGTAGGGATTGCACCTCCTTCTATGGGGTTGTGTGAGTCACATGGGAGGCTGGTGTCACCTCACACACCTGTGCCTGGAGTTTGTCTGTGTTGTGTGTGGTAATACCAACCCCCCAAACCTTCCTGCGGGTGGTGAGTCCACTGGAAGGTATTAACCGCATCAAAATGTAATGTTTTGGCCCTTTATAATATTTTTATATACCTATTTTTGCTGCTCATTCGTTTCAATTTGACCTCTAAGTAATGCTTATTCTTAGCATTACTTAGCAGTTTTTTGATTAGCAGTATGAGGGTTGAGTTTTCAGGGAGGTGAAAAATGTGACAAAAAAACGAAAACAAACAAACAAAAACTTAAACTTTCAATATAATCAAAAACGAAAACAAACAAACAAAAACTTTCAATATAATAATTTTCTCATTTAATCCCTGAATCTATTTGAAATTAATGTGGTGGAAGCTAAGCTATTAGTGGACCCTGACCCTCCAACATCTTTAAACATTTTGTGTTTTTCATTACATACTAGAAAATAGTGAAATAGTTTATAGTTTAAGGAAAGATTTTGCATTCTCCATAAATTATACGGTGACAACAAGTGTTGCAGAAGATAACTGACAGATAGAACTGAACATAAACGATTTGTGTTAGAACGGAGAGATAACTTGGAAAATTATGGACGATGCTACAAATCAGTTTGGCTCGTAATCATCTCAGCGGAGGCTGGAGTGAGGTCGGGGTGCGTGAAGTCACAGAGGTGTGTAATCACTGTGGTGATAGTGGAGGAGAGGTGAGCTCACTGTCAGTACAGGGAACTGACCAGAATCGATTTAATGCATTCTTAGTGGATGGAGAGGTCAGGAAGCGAGAACATCCTGCACACTGTGAATGATTTAGTCCAACCTCGTCATCACTTCTCACCAAGCAGCCCGCCTACACTTCATACAGACATAACCTTCACTGGTTATACAGATGCAGGTCATAGAGCATTGTGTATCTGCTGGAGTAATGAGATTACAATGGATTATTACAGGATTGTGGTGTTTTATGATCATGGTCAAAGGTTTTTGTTACAGTTTTGGAAATATTTGACAACAAAGCATGTTGTTTCATTTCATAAAGAATATTTTGGCTTGTTTTTCCTCCACACCCTCAGCTTCTGTATCTGACAAGAGTGGAAATAATTACTCTGTAGACTTGGGAGGAAAGATAAGGTAAAGCAGGAGGAGAAAATATATCATCAGTGGTTAGCTTTCAACTACATAAAAACATTCTGTATTTTATTTTACTTTTGATAAAGACATGGCACCGTCTGCTGAAGAGGTAAACCCAGTATCACTGCACCTTTATCATTTTACAGCTAAATAAATAACTTTGTCAACATAATGTTTTTCTCTCACAGCAGCATGTGTTCTATTGTTCCCTGCAACATTTCAAAATACAATCAGACTATATATATTAGGAAAAGATAGGATGGGGATTTGATCAACACACTGTTGAGATTAAGATTTTTTTTTTCATTTGCTGCTAACAATAGGATAAATAGATCACTTTCACCAGGGACACGTGTGTGGTGCCACGGCATTTAACAAGTCAAGGAAATATAAATGTGCAAAGTGGATTAGAGGATGGTGAAGTGGTTTTTTCAACACTTTTCTGAGGGACTATAATGTTTAAAAGTTAATACTACAACCAGACTAACAAGTGGCTGAAATCTCTCAATCATTACAGTTATTGTCTACTGAGGAAATTCTCAGACCTTACAGTATCATGCATTTTGCAGTTTATTCAAAACAGGATATTGGTCCATGATAGAAAATTTATAAAAAAATGACACCTGACTAAATGGTAACTTCCTCTCTGCATACGTCTCCTCTCTTTACTATTTGTGGTCACTGTCAGCCATAGAAATGTTGTCATTTCAAGATGGAAATTTTAGTGCAAGAAACAAGTTGACCTTGTCTTCTGACCATGAAACTCTTCCTCCTCTCAATCCTATTCCTCCTCCTTCAGTCCTACTTGATCTCCTCTGAGTATTCTGTGTTTCTGCTTCATTGTCTGTACTGTCCAAGTGCACAGCCAGGCATCCTTGTCAGATCACTGTGCTGCTGTAGTTTTGATGTGTGACAGATTTTTTTGGCTAATTATTTAGGAGTTGGAAAAAAAACCCTTGACCATAATTGAAGCCGCTCAGCAGATTGGAAGTTACGCGGGGCTATTTTTGCAAGATTTATTTTCTATTTTATCCAAATTTCTCAGTGTATCTCATGGCACTAACCTTGTTTTGCCGATTCTCTGCCTGATTAATGCTCGCCGTGCCACAGTGAGGTAGAACACCGAGACAAAGACCTGGCAGATGAGAAAAAAAAGGCTGAATTCTGGTTTGGCTGCTTCACCAAGGATTTGTTGTCTCAGCCACCATCAATCACTGCAGGTTGTGTAACACCTGGATGGAGGCCAGAAAACACACACAGCTCCATCAGGAGTCCTGAGATAACTGCTGCCTCCTGCTGGTTCTGAATTCATTTCTCCTTAGATTGATTTAAAGCCATTTTTGCATCCAGGTCTTGAATCAGTAGCTTAAAAAAATAGGAGACAGTGTGTCTACGCCCACAGGTAGAGTCCACCACTGTGTGTGTTGTATGAAGACGTCCACTGAACATGATTAATCGCTGGCTTTTTTCTATGTTTTACTCCAGCTGCTGTGTGTGATTTATAGTATTTGGAAAACTCTGACCTCTACAGACCCAACCATCAAAGTCCCCACTGGGGTCTGCACTACACTGTGTGCAATGAGTGGTTATCTGGCCCAGGCTTATCTTTAGGACCCTCTGCACTAATGGCCACTATTGGAAAACTTATTGACCTACATTGGCCATAAATTAGGGTAGTGCTGATGATATGGCTTTTGTTTCCGCATTTAAGATAAGCAGCACCGTGTAGACACTGTGTTCAGTGTTCACTGTGTTCACTGTGTGTTCACGGCTGCTTGTGTGTTCCAGGTAAAAAAACTCTCTTTTAAAAATTGAGTTTTCTCTAAAGTTAGTAATAGTTAGTGCTCTTGCCCAAGGGCAGGGCAATTACTGGTTCAAGCCCTGGTCCTAGCTAATGGTACTCACGTTTCCTCCATCAATCGTAAAGATGCAGGAGATTAACTCTTCACTCTAAATTGACCAGAGGTGTGAATGTTCGTGTAAAAACGATGTACGTGAACTGTTCAAGTTGTGCCCCGCCGTGACTCAGAGAAAGGAATAAAGAACGAATAGATTCCTTTTAAAAATGCTGGAATATCATTATCATTATTATCAATATTTTTCTAAAAGACCTGTATAAACTCTACATGTAGTTAAATTAATTTAAATGAGTTTAAAAAAAACCATTGGCTTGAGCACCGGTTACACAACATTTAAGAAAGCATAAAAAAGTTCTGTGTCCACTGAGAGGTGGTGCCAGGTATGTGTTTGTTCTGAATTATAACCCATGTTTATTTGCCAGCATTTGGTCTGATTTGCAATGTTGCTTTAAGGTAACAAACAGCAGTGGCTGTGGTTTCCATGGCGTCTCAGTGGACGGTCTATGTCCCGGATTTATAGCTGGCGAGATGTGTGTCCAGCAGGAGGGAGAAAAAGACCAGGAGGTCTATAAAAACACAACACAGTGGAAACTTAACAATCTCAGATCTTTGCTGCTGTATTTAATATTCCACAGTTATATTTAGATATGTGTTCCTATGTCACCCTGTCTTTTCATCTGAAGTACTTAATGAGCAAACACTGAACTGCAGTACGGTAATAAGTTTGGCATCTAATTTAATCTGAGCCGTGGGACTCGGAGGGAACTACAATCTCTTCATGTCATTTATAACGAAACTGAGATTGTACTGTTCATAGGTTAAAGTAAAGATAGTGAGGAATTGTTTTGTATTTCAGAGAGGGATTACTTTAAGATAAGATGCAATTTCACAGTATAAGCTGCTTTGTTTGCTGTACAGTTTAAACATTTTATGGGTGGAGTTCCAGAGCTCAAAGCAGAGATTGGGACATGAGTCTGAGACGTGGACTAGACTCTAACCAAGGATGCACAGACTTGAGACTTGACTTCAGACTTGTTTACACTTTAAGCCTTAAAACCTCGACTTGAGACTTAATTTTGACTTAAATACATAGACTTGACATTTATTCTGGACAATAGACTTGAGACTCGACTTGGTATTGCCCCTTAAAAACATGAGACTTGATTTCGACTTGAGTCCAAAGACTCAGACAAAGAGATCTGACTTCGACTTGGGATGAAAGACTTGACACTCGACTTGGTATTGCCCCTCGTAGGCTTGAGACTTGATTTGTTGGTACCAAGACGTGTGACCTGTTGTGGACATGGAAAAAAAAAACAATCTTCAATGTCTTTGATTTAGTCACTGCATAATAACATTTATGGAATTCATAAAAGTGAGAGGAAGATTTTTGTATTATTTGCAGTTAATAAGAGCAGTTAATAAGAGCACATGAAATAGCTTTGAGTTTCAGGCTCCCATTTTTACTTTTTAAAGCAAGCTTAGCATTTCCAGTCAAGCTCTGAGTCGTCACCAATGGCTGCCTCCGTTTGTTATATATACTGTCTGTGGGAGAAACACACAAATGTCAGTGTTGCAGAATGTATGGCATATGCATGCAAGGGTATCACTAAATGTCAACAGTATTCAAATATGCATTATGCCGCACATTATGTTGCCATAAAGTAACATACATAAAAGGTCAGGGTTTAGAAGGGCCGGGGAGAGAACAGCTGCAGGTACGACACCACTGACATTATTCACAGTACTTCACTGAAATCACAGAAATAATCATTTTAAACTACTGTTAGCTGCTCTGCACATTTTTAAACTGTGGCCAAAGTGCTGCTGGGAGCTGCAGTTTCAATCTTCCTACTTGTCATCGCTGTGTAAAAGGTTACAATACGACGTGTCCGTCATGTCAACGTGTTGAATAAAGTGTGGACAATAGGGAAATATTCATGTCTTTTATTTAAAATATTTAAATTTCAAAGACTTGGATACATTTAATTAAACATTTTTTAAAGATTAAGTCCAAGTGTTTTAGCGCCACATAGGAGAGAAAAATGTGAAAAAAGCCACAGTCTATTTAAATTATGGTTTCAAATTAAGTTATGATCATTTCTGCTGCCGGTGGAAGAATCTCTTCGGTCCAATCCATTTCCCTAATCTCTCATCATTAGATGAGCACGTACATTAGCAGTGAATGGGTGATGGTTAATAATGTGTGCTTCTATCTGCTGCTCTAAATCAAAACGCCGGTATTGCTTTCTGCGGATAATTGGACACTGATATAAAGTAGCTCACATCATTATAACTCAGCACAACAGTCAGTTATTGGATTTCCTCTAACATTTTATTTCCTCTACCTGATCTCATTTGTTGCACAGACCAAGATCTGCTGGAGGACATCATGATTGACAGCTGCCTTCACCTCCCGCCGTCAATAGTAAGTGAGTTAACTTTAATACAGCTGCAGTTTAATCCAACTCTGTACGACAACCCTGTGTGACAGAGCGGCGTGTGACAAGAGTTATTTTCGGCTTTTGAAATTTATATAAAATCAATGTCATTTTACGCAAGAGAAAGGTTTGATGTAAGTCACGATGTGTGTTATTAGTTTATAATGGAGGAGTTTATTCTTTATCATTTTGTAGATTCTGTATATGTTTCACAAACGTGTCCAAAAGTTTTGGTTGTTTTTTTAAATGTTCTAAGTTAGGGTTTTGTTTAGAACCCGAGGTGTCGGTTTTGAAGGTTTCGTGTCAAACAAAAGAACTTAGAACGGACCGGAAGGACAAACAAAGTTATAAAAATGTTCAAGTGTCAAAAGAAGACTTTGTCCATTCAGAGAGACTGTCAGCAGAGTAAACACAGGAGGCAGGTGGAGGTAGTGAGGATGATTAGGGGGGAAAGGCTGGCGTGATGCAAGGACGGCGAGAGCGAAGGCTGCCACGACAACCTTCAAAAAAAAAGAGACTGCTGGAATCAAATAATTTCTTCTGATTGAATGGAATTCTTTGATGGTGGTGATCTTGACATTGTTTAGAAAAGTAAGGGAGAGGCTGAAATCCAAAGAACACTGTCCCCACAACAACATTAGGAGGTAAAGCTTCACTGCATTTTGTTAGGGATTCTTGTGTAATCTCTAACCCTAACCTTGTTGCAGACTAAACCCCCAGAAACTGCAGTGTTTTTCAGTCAAAAGAGTGTATGGATAATTCTAACAAATATTTTCTTAAATTTATGTTTTACCGGTGAGTTCTCTGAAATACCTAAGCTTTGGTATGCACAAACATAGTCCGAACACACAGAACACTGTGGCTTCTTTTACGTTCTCCACTTTGATCAGTGGTGATGACTCTTTTCAGCAGAACGTGCACAGATGTGTCTTAGGTGTTGTAGGTGTGGTTTTCTACAACCAGTCTCTGAATTGAATGAATGTTGTCACTGATATTGATGATATGCTTTAGTGTAATTGTCATAAGAGGTGTCCCAGTACAGCAGTGGACTGTCAGTGTTAGATAAGGGAGGATGTTAAAAGGAAGAGCCGTATCCTCTGGAGCACACTGGCATGCACCCGCCCTACTTTTAAAACTTCTCATAAAAAAAAAATGCAGCGGAAAATGTAGGAGGTGGTGGAGGAGAAGTGATGTTTCTGCCTCCTCTCTGCAGTCTGTGATGGTGATAAAACATGCACAGTGCAGAGCTGGCCAGTGTGCATGCAGCTGGCAGAGGGGACGTGATGAAATCGTGAGGCGTTGAATGTATACACAGAAACTCTACAGAGTACAGAGTGTAGACAGTTGATGTGTACTTCAGTGATTGGGATGAAACAAAAACACTGCCTCACTGACTCAAAGATATTCCAGCGTTCTCAAATTTTTCTTTTTAAACCTTGGAGACAGTTGTGTGAAGAAACATCTCGTCAGATCAGCAGGTTCTGAAATATTCCCAGCATAATGTCGGCGCTAAGATCCGAACCACATCAAAAGTCACCTAATTCACCTTTCTCCTATATGTCCATGCATTATTTAATCAGCAGCACCTTGTTTATATTCCTACATCCGTCGACTTGCCGTCCCATGATTGGCTGATGAGATATTTGCATTAACTAGCAGTTAAACAGGTGCACCTAAAGAAGCGGCCGGTGAATGTATATAGGAACATTAAACCACACGGCTGAGTGTTTCGTACGTACAAACTGTACACTGCCACACTGGATCCTCATGAAATATGAACCCGTGGGTGGAATGAATGGGTCTGTGTGTGTGTTAGTGGCAGGTCGTTACTCTGCATCCCTCCAGTGAGACAATAAAGCTCGGATACAAAGAGACGGTCTTTAGAACTCACGCTCACCTTATTTTACAGTGCAGCCTCCTATAAAGTTCAACCTTGATGGAGAGAGGAGAAAGGGGAAGGTGAGGAGGGAGTAGTCCGCCTGACAACAGCAAGTACAGCAGTGGGCAAGTCGTGGGGGAGACAGGGAGGGAACTATGCAGAGAGAGGCAGCCAACGGCATGTTTGTTCACAACAGAAGAAGATAAAAAAAATGAGTTAGATTTTTTGGGGATACTGTGTTTCACAGAATTGAAACTGCTGCTAACAATCTCTCTCTCTATAATATAAAATATCTGAATGGAGTTTATATTTCCTCATATTGCCAAAATATATATTCAGATAGCATATATAGTATACATATATAGTCTTCAGAACCTATTTCCATTTTGTGACGCTTCTATCTCTTCTTTATACCTTTTTTCTTTTCATCATTCTGATTTGTTGAACAACAAAACTTCAACCCGTATATACTGTATATTGGATCATTTAGCCTAAGTCTGTGGATATATATTTGATATATTTTGGTTGATATTGCTTTGCCAATGCATGAACACGTGCCGTTCTTGTGTACTGTATACTTTACAAGTAAAAACTGACTTATGGGTAAAGTATAGCTCTCAAGATCTTGTAGTAACTAACAAACTTACAGATTAATGCCAGTTCTTCTGGTACTTCACTGGTCCAATCTGGGCTCCTTATGGTCATTTTATAATGATAAGTGGGTCCAAGTTCATTTCCTAGATTCCAAACAGAGACCCGGAATCAACAACAGAGCTGAGACGTTGATGCTAACACTATGTCCCACAACAGGCTGCTGTTGCCAGGCAAATGTAACTGTTGGGAATTTTTCCCCACCCTGTGATTTAACCTTGAACAAAGGCCAAGTGGAAATTGAGTTTCAGTTAAAGTGTGAGATGTGAGAGGAAACAGCAAACTGCTGCAATCTTTTCTACAAAGTGATTTTTTCCAAAAATGGAATGATTAAAGGCCTCCGGAGTCAATAATGAACGCAGGCTAATTCCTCCACATTAATGGAGAACCTCTGTGCTCCTGCTCCTCGCTCCATTGGTCCAGACTGGACGATGTCACAATCTGTTGCTGCTGTGGCACACCATCTGCCACTGACTCAGCTGGTACCCTTTTACCCCGAGGGATGGGGAGAGAGGTGGGGTAGAAAGGGAAGAGATTTTGTTAAATTACAGCAGAGGTCATAGCTGCACTGGACCTTAGAATATGTTGCTGTGTTAAATATATTACCATTTCTGGGTTGGATAATTTGTTGCCATTACTCTTATTGTTGTCATGTATTATCAGTAAAGCATTATTACTATTATAAGTGACTGGAGTGCCACAGGTCCAACAAGGCCCCAATCCTCAACTGGTCCCATTGTGTCAGGAAGGACATACCAATTAAAAGTTGTACTCCTCATTTATTAGACAAAATACAACTCTTAATCTCCTAATTGTGAAATGAATCCACATTTACATAGATATGACTCCTGGTTGCTCCCTGCCTTTATTTTCTTGTTCTTATTTAATACAGTTAGGTTTAGTTGATTATTTTAGAGCCTGTATTTGCTTAAGTTGTTGTTTATACTGTTTGTTTTCTCTATTGAGGCCCAGCCAGAGACTGCAGTTGCAAATTAGCAATTTAGTCCAAACTCTAGATGCAGAACTTTAGATCCACTTTACATCCACTATGTTTAAGGCACTGGGCCTAATGCATAAAAAAATCAATTTCTGCTTTTAGCCTGATGATGAGATGAGCCTTGCTGCTGTCGTGCTGTATGACCTCCAGGACAGGAAGTTCATGCCACGAAGACACCACCAGGGGCAAACGGAGGAGATCATAGCAGAAGCCAGAAGCATTGAGAACTACCTCACGGGGTAGGAAGCAATACAGAAAATGAAAAAGATGCAAATTAATAAAAAAACTAAAATATTCATCATCATTGGGATTTTTGTGTGTAGGTGTTCAACCAAACTGGCTGCCTCTCTGGCCCGCTGCAGAATCAAACACAATGTCCTGTCCATTCACTGTATCCTTCCACGCAGTGTGAGGATCAAGCAGGGAAGATCAAACTGTCTTCCACACTACGCTTGGGTCAACACAATGAAGAGCAGGTCAGGGGAGCATGTACTTACTGTGGAAACGTTGTTACAAAATATAGTGAATGGGAAAAAAAAAAAAACAGCTTTGATCGCTGTGTCAAATATTTGAATCTGCTTTATGAGCCAAACTGGTTTCACTGGAATCACAGACACATGTTGACACAATTGTCAAAACTGCTCTTCTTAAACCTTACATGATGCATGCGTTGAACACGCAGGTCTAAACTACGTATGAATTATGTGAAAGCCCACACGTGCCCACACCTGCACCTGTGCATACAGACTGAACAGGATGCAGGGGTTCCTCCCCAATGTTTTATGAGGCAGGTGTCCAGCTGACATTCAATTAAACCACTTTACTGTTTATACGTGTGTGTGTGTGTGTGTGTGTGTGTGTTGATGCGTATGTGTGTGTTTTCTGGCACAGGCAGAATCATATAGTTGTAAATCCTGCTGCTGACGACAGATTCAATCAGCAACAACCCTCAGCAGGCACTGAGACTGTACAGCAAAGGGCACCTTTTGGGTTTACGTGTGTATATATGTGTGTGTATATGTGTGTGTGTGTGGGTGTGCAGATCATAATGTACTTACTGGACTATCATAACTGAGAACACACAGCCATACTATGATTATCAATGATGAGTCTCCTCTTGTTTCCTTCACTCACCTGATCTCTCCTCTCCGTTCCTTTAGCCTCGATGAGGTCCAGGCTGTTCTGAAGAGTTCAGGCTTCTCCCAGGTTAAATCAGCCGCACACCTGGAAGGCCAGAGCTTCTGTCGAGATCCACACTGTGGGGATCTACTGGTGTTTCCGGCTGGACTAAAACCTCGTCTGAATTCCACCAATCTGCTCACTGACCACAAACTCACCATCCAGGTAAAAGCTGCACCGAGTGGATGGAGTCCTGACATGCCTGACATCTTCCTCTCTGTGGACTTAAATATGACCGTGTGAAATTGTTTTGGCTCAATCCATCTTCTCTGATGTTTATCATTTCACTCCGACGGCGGACTCGCTCAAATTGATTATAAGACTGCGGTTGTTCACGCTCACTCAGATTAGTTTGCTAAGATGCAGATATTTCACACCACCTCCTCTCATCTGCCCAGGCTTCACTTTGAACCGTAAAGAATTCTCAAGTCTGGGGAGCATGTTTAATCATTCAATTTCTATGCCATTAATGTCAAACTGCCGTACAAATCACCAGTAGCACATAGCAACAAAACACAATTAAATCACATTTTGAAGCCAAATTCAATTAAATATTCACCCCTTCTGCCTAATTAATCACGTCCCCTTTTTTCCATGTCTTCCCTCTTACATTTTATGAGGCTGCATCACACTATTTCTCTTCTGCTCTTTTCAAATGTCACTGCTCCTCCCTTCACTCTGCCCCGTTTGTTTTTCCTGAATGCTGTGAACTGGATGCTATATTCAACCAGGCCCCAAAGTTTCATCAGGGCATGAACAGCATGATTTCCAGAGGGGACACTGCTGATTGAAGGACATCCCTGTTGTACTGGGACTGCACTTTCAATCTTTTTCCACATTTCTCTGTTGCTCCATCTCCTTCCTGCTTCCCCTTGGTGCCTGCTCTGGAACAGCAGTCCCAGCCTCCCTCTGGTTTATTCCATCCTCCACTGTATTTGCTTATATATATATATATATATAAATATATATATATGCATCGCTTCCTTTCCTTCTTACGTCTACCCTTTGCTTGTTGTAATTTGTATCTGAGGCCACAGAGTGTTACTGGAAGTGTGAATGTTGATATCACTTCTTAACCAACAATTTTATTCCTTGTGCTTGCAGGATAAGTTCTGCAGCCTGGGGCCCAACCTGGTGTGCTCCGTGTTACCAGCGCGGGGAGATGTTCTCATGGTGGGCCACTTCTCAGGCCTGACTGTGGCCCACACTGCATCGCTAGTTGCTTGGAAACACACAACCCAACAGAACAGCAACAACCAGAGCACTGTTTATGTTTGTGTCAGCGGTACGGAGGCTCGGAGGCAGGAAATACAGCAAGTCGTCACAACCATGGGCTGCAAAAGTAGGTAACACACTGATGTACAAGAAAACTGTTGTGATCCTCCGATAGGAAAATTTATCATTGAAGACTTATATCATCGAAACAGCACGGCAGAAACAGGAAGCTATCATGACACAAGCAAAAATCACGTTTCACTGAAATCTATTTGTTTCCCCTGAACTCATCACAACTGTATTTGATCTGCGTTATAAAGATCATTACTTGGATGTGGGAATAAAGCAGCGAGCACGAAAAATGATCCAGGCTGCGATGGACGTGGAAAACACGCTTGGAGATAGAGAAGCTCTTAGTGCAGTGTGCCAGATGAAGGGCAGGCACCCTTATTGTCTGATATGTTTTGTTAGATCCTGACAGAGTTGACAGATTTGACTATCAGTTGATTTTATTTCTCTTTAGACATTTGACATTTATTTTGACAATTATGAATTTATTATGAATTTATTTTGAATTTATGCAATTGCAGTGCCTTGATTTTATTGAGGTTTAGTACACAATCATAGTCATAAATGCTGTGGTACTAATAATTGGTGTAATAATTTCTGTTGGTTTTCAGTTTCAGCCAAGAATTTTATTTTCGGTGCATCCCTACTATATATTGTAGAAATACACAACAAAAATTTGATCTCGGCAATTCAACAACACATTCCTGGGAGCAGTAAAGACTTTCAGATGTACCTGGAACAAAATGGTTGGGGATTTGAACCTGCAATTCTCTGAAAAAAGACTTAACGAGTTGCAAGTGTTACCACTAGACCCTAATTGAATATCTGATGTAATACCGCCTAAAGCCACAAGGTCATGTATGTTCAGGAGCAGATCCTTTTCACTGACATATTTTGTTATCAAACAATTTGATTCACGTTTCTTTGATAGACTTCAGCCCTAGTAAACAGTAATAATTTTTCTGTTTGCAAAGTACTAAGTCTTAGTTACTGTCTTCTGATACCCAAATGTTTCTCCAGGTAACCTGCAATTTTGGTAACAAAGTCCATAGATGTTAGATGTACTGTGTGATTATGGGGCTGGTTGTTTATGTTGAACAAGAAATTCAGGATTTGGTAACAGCAATGTCGTGAAGCTGAAGTAAACACACGTGGAGCCCACACTGACATGGTGACTAGGAGAAAAAATTAAACCATCGCATAGAACGTTGTCAGTAAATTCGGAGAGATTTTAATATTTAGAGAGAGCAGAGATTGTTTGCTGAGGCAAATATTTACTATTCCTGGCTGCCGGTTTCCACAGTCATTAGGGAAACAATTAAGTGTGTGACAAAGCTGACATTTTTATAATTGCAAAAAATCAGCTTCAGGCAGGGATTTGTTCTACAAACAAATATGGTGAAACACTGGGAATAGGCTGTGAAAGTTGAGGGAATGTGTGTTCAAGATGATGTGTTATTTACACTGTTTGTGCATGTTAATTAGACGTGAAGCTGATGCCGGGGGTCTTCCAGTCCTTGGACCGTGCTGAGAAGACACTTCAGAGGGTTCGCGTTATTCTGCTAACCCCCAGGTGTTCCATGTCTGCAGTCAGCGATCCAGTCCAATTTATTTTGCAGGAGAATGGAGGTGTGTAAGTCCATTACAAACCCTTTTGTGTCATAACAAAAAGTCACAAAACAAATTACCATTTAGCCAAAATTTTCTAACTTTTTTTTCAAACTTTTTTCAAAATGTTTCACCATGTCATGACACACGGAATCAGGAATTTACTGTAAAATTTCCCAAAAGATTTCCCAAAAAAAATTCCAAAAAATGTCTTAAATTGATGAGAAACATGCAGAAGATAAAATGTAGAATTTATTTTTTTTAAAATGAAGAAAATTTTGATCAAAATGTTTCACCATCTGACAATAATGAAAGTTTTGCTGAAAAATGTACCAAATATTTTAACAAAAAAAAGTTTTTTTCTAAAATTCTTTTCAAATTGTTATATGTTGATGAGAAACATGCAGAAAAAATAAAACTTGGAAACATCCATGCATCCATTTTCATCCGCTTATCTGTTAGTCGGTCGCCACCCAAATCACGCTGCACCGTACCAACCTTCCTGAACCTTCCTGTGGGTGGTGAGTCCACTGGAAGGTACCAACCGCCCTAACTGGGATTTGATTCTCTCAATGACAGAGACGTTGCCTCAGGGCCAAAACACCACTAATTTGGAAGCAACAATTTCAATAATTTTTTCATCAAAATTTTCTAATATCTGACCAAAAATTATGTGGCGCTTTGGCCAGGAGGCAATGTCTCTGTTACTTCACCTGCAGGAAGGTTCACAAGGGGCTAGTACGGTGCAATGTGATTTGGGTGGCGGTTGTGGAGACTGCTGCCCCTGCAACCTGGTAACGGAAAAGCGGATATAAACGGATGGATAGATGGATGGTTAGGTATTGCCGAAATATTTCAAACAAACAAATATTTTATCTGAATATTTCAAAATATCACCAAAACCATGCCTTACTATAGCCTTACTATCATGAAAAAATGCAAAAAAAAAAGTACCAGAAATGCCTTTAAATGCAAGTGTATGCCCCATAACATGCTGTAAGGCATGTTTTTGGTGATGTTTGAAATATTCAGATAAAATATTTTTTTGAGTTTTTAGCAGAACTGATTCACTTGGCAGCATGTTTTGGGGTATAAACTTGTATTTAAAGGCATTTCTGGGACTTTTTCTTTTTTCTTTTCATGATAGTAAGGCTATAGTAAGGCATGGTTTTGGGTGATTTTTGGAATATTCATATAAAATACTTTTTGGAGTTTTAAACACAAAATATTCACTTGGCAGCATGTATTAGGACATAGTCTTGCATTTTATGGCACTTCGGGAACTTTTTATTTTTATGGATTTTCTCACACCCAAAACATGCCTTACTATATTATTATGTCATTTTTGAGAAACCTTATTTTCCGGAGATTTGTT